ATAAAGTTACATACCGTATTTATTCGAATAAGCGCCCAATCTCGAATTAGCGCCCACCTCGAATAAGCGCCTATCCTAAAGGCAGAAAAAGTTAATAAGCGCCAAGCCTCGAATAAGCGCCCACCTCAACCCCACCCCCTTTCACCTCCCAACCGAAAAAAATTGAATAAGTACTAATAAGAGACTTCCCCGAAGACGGAGTTTTCTGCAGAGTATTTTACAGAAACCTTGCTTTGTTACATCTTCGAGTTCGTGATTACCATTTATTGTTTTGTTGCAAAATAAACATACTAAACTTTTTGAAATTGTGAAAATTTAATAAGCGCCCAGCCTCTAATAAGCACCCACCTCGAATAAGGGCCCACTCTCAAGGTCAAAAAATTTAATAAGCGCCCAGGGCGGTTAATCGAATAAATACGGTATTCATCATTCCCTACCTTTTAGTGGCAGCAGACGAATAACATGTTTTGGATCTCTGATGCCGGCTTACAGTGATACAGCACGTCATCACTCGCGAAGAGACATGTTTATTTATTTTTTTGTTTAATTTCAGTGGGAATCGGTCCTTTTAGAAGTCCTATTTTGCATATCTTGATGGTGTTTTAGCACTTAATATCTGAGGAAAAATAAACCATAAAAAAGCTTTGTTGTCGTTGACCATTTTCTGAAAAGCAACATTATCGACCTTAACTTCCGCTGGATATGTAAAATTTTAGTTATAACTTATGCAAGCAAGACACAAACGTGATAAAAATATAAAAAATATTTAGATTGCTGGTTAAGGTTAATCAAGAGATAAGTCGTTTCGTGCTACGCATCTAACATAATAATTATGAGGTTATATACATAAGCCAAAGTGCGAATTATTTCACTGTTTATGGTTGATCTTTGAACGTGACTGACAACAATTAAATTATAGCTAGAAGCGAGGCTCCTCACACATTGTTAACGGACATAAAGGAGCCTTTTTTAAAGAATTGCTTTGTTGTCTGCGTAAAAAGCAGCTGGACTGAAGGCCGCATCTATTCCGAGAAGCAGCCCCTGAAAGTTCAATACAAGAACTTTAGAAGAATCGAGCAACGCTTAAGCAAGGACCTTGACAAACGGTAGAATATGGTTTACACCGACTGTTAAAGTTTTTGTTAAAAATTGTAGTTCTTCAGCCTTAAGACAGGCTTTGAAAGGTCTGCTTTTGTCGTTATCATATCCACTCTTCCGTTCTTCACAGGTATCAATGACTAAATTTCATCATATCCTGTAATCATTATTGTACTTCCCTGGTAGCAGAGGTCTCTCGCGACGAGAGAACAAGAAATCATTTTACCAACAGGGCTTGCAATACCAAATTGAAAGAAAATTCTTTAAGGATCCATAAATTTTACCACTGGTCTTTGATTCAATCCTTGACACAATTCCACTCACTTTGAGTACCAATTATGAGTGTTTCTAGAAAACATTATTTGGAGAGGTTCCTCACGTTTAAATCATTTTAACTAGCAAGAACTTTCACTGCATTTAAAAGAAAGTACAGCTGTACTTATCTTTGTTGAATAAGTTGCGTAATGTTTTTTCAAAATCCAAAAGGAGATTACGCAATGATTTATATTGTGAGCACAAATTAACTTACTAACTAAACAGTGAATATTTTATTTATTCCTAATTTTTCTTAAAAGTTTTTTTAATTACGTAACCGTTAAGAACGGTGCATGCACATTACGAGAAGGTTTAAGGTTATTTTGCGGCATTATCTCTGCTTAATTATCTCTGGAAAAAAAAAGTGTGGTTACTCCCAGTTTTCTAAGTTGCTACCTAAAGTCCATTTTAAGTACCGCTTTTCCTTTTCATTCATAAACTACTTATCAAGTAGCATCATCTTTTTTAACCCATCAAAACACAACAACGGATAAGAAACATTTCACCGACTTTTCCTCAGGCAATGAGCATTTCAGGTTTTGAACTTTCCAAACCAGTTTGGCCATTAACCTCTGAGAGCGTTCGCAATTGATAGTAATCACTATCAATTTAGGTTTCTGGCAAACTGCCCACCTACCCTCCGCTAAGCCAACATTATCGCTTGCTTCTCACTCAAGGCAGAATGTTGGCTTAGGGGAGGGGTAGGTGGGCAGTTTACCAGAAACCTAAATCAATAATCACTTCTCTCCTTCTTTACAGAAATGAACTTCGTGAGTACCAAGAATAAGGCACGAAGGCGAAAAAAGAAGAAAGCTGGAAAGGGAAGAGAGGTATACTATTTGGAAAATACAGCAATGGCTGATTCAACGAACGATATTGAAATTTGCACGGTAACAAGTCACTCATTGCCAGCAGAAACAAGTCCAATAAAACAAAAAGCAAATCAAATGACTGCTTCCACGGAGTGTATCGCAAGCTCATCTGTGTGTGGAAGAGAAAGAACTTGGTCGAGATCATCGGCAGCACCAGTCTTGCATTCTACAGACTTTTGGGACAGGCATTTTGATGGTACCAACTCGGTCTCATGGAAGACTTTTCGAGCTGCATTTCTTGAAGATTACGGATGTGTTATTCAAGAATTCGCCCCTCAGAGAATTCACTGGATTTTAACCATAGTGCACAAGGACATTTTTGCCGCAGCAAATGATATTCATAAGCTGTATTACGATAAGTTCTGCGGTAAATCACGCCACCCAGATCGTCTTTGGGTGAATATCAAGCAATATGCGGCCGAGAGGATTTTTCGGGAAGGTGTTATAGAGTCTATGTTCGAGTAGGGAAAAAAGGTCGATTTGACGTAATGGCCAGTTACTTGCACGATCGCGTCATTTGACTATCACTACCACAATTCATTTCGTTTTCTGATTTATATTCAACTAGTTTTGAATAACAAAAGCCCAAATTTGTACAAGAAAGCCAACCCTGAAGGGTTGCGGGTTGCGGTAGTAGTGGTAGTGGTAGTGGTAGTGGTAGTGGTAGTGGTAGTGGTAGTGGTAGTGGTAGTGGTAGTGGTAGTGGTAGTAGTAGTAGTAGTAGTAGTAGAATGACGTAATCCTGCAAGGATCAGCTGAAGCAACTTCGTTCATAGGGTCCTCGAGAGAAAAAGCGAGAAAAAAATGGGAACGAGGCTGTATGAATCAGAAGCTGATTTGAGTATTTTACCAACGGATAAACGTTACCAGCATGTGGCTGTAGGAGGAACAAGAAATTCAACTACTACTAGCATGATTGTTAAACTTGGTCAGTGTTTCTTTTCCATTTCCTCTGCTGCTGTTGTTAACTCTGTTAACTGTACTAGGAATCTTGGGGACCACTACAAAACACGTTTTAATAATAGCAATGGAGACCTGGCGAAGATATATTAATTAATGTCCAATTCGCTGGTTTTATCTTGAGTCACGTCTCCTCTGGAATTCCAAAAATATACGCTCATCATAAAAAAGATAGTAATTAAAAGCTGGTTCATTTAAATACTTAAAGACATTAGTTTTTTCGCTTTGTTTACCTTGTTTTTGGTTGTATTTTTATTATGTGGCTTTTGACAGTGACCTTCATTCCGTATTTGATAGCCAATAGTTTTACAATAGAGCAGCCGAAACCTGATGCTAATTTGGCAATATTTTGTTTGGTCGGGGTGGTGGTACCCTGGGTGCCAGAGGCTTTTTATGCGCAGTTTCCGGTTTCGGTTAAGTCTGAAGAAGTGACCCGCGCGGGCGAAGACGTGTTGGGCTGCGGCCAGCGAAGCGCCTTGTCGCACGCGAGAAAAAACCTCTGGTACCCAGGGTATGGTTGTGGATAAGTTATTGCGATATTAATTTAAAATAAAAATTTCCAAAATGTAAGAATTATTCATCTAATGCTTCTAATTATTCAATTTAACTACTGAACGCGGGTTCCGAAAGCTATAAAGAACAAAATGTTAGGCGGCTAATTACCATCAATTCACGGGGAGACCACAGGCATCCCAAACTCACTCATGCAAGCGCTTGAGTTCCCTAGCGCATCTGATAATTTTGCATAACGCAACGATTTTATAAGGTTCAGCCTGGAAAGAGGAATTTTGAAAAAATTCTTTATCTTAGCTTATTGACTTTAGAGAAAAGAAATAAAATAAAAATACTTGTGTTGTCTTTTTCAAGTGAGTGGGGATGTTTGAACACTGTTCGATGGTGATTTTAGGACATGTTGGGACGCCTGTTGTTAGTAACTCAACGGCCGTCGCCAGAAGAAAAAAGGGTATTTTATTAAAAATCCAAACCTGGCAAAACGAAAAGTTGTTCTTAAAAGTGCACCCAGTTATGAACATAAAAGAAAATTGTTGTGACAAGAAAAATAAACGGTAACATGAACGGTATTTACCAGCAAGCTCTCTTATTTGGGAGAGCGAAGCGAGCCGCGCGAGAACGCGCCTCGCGTCTCCTCTCGCGTGCCTCTCGCGCGTCCACTTTTCACGATATTCCCCAAATAGAGAGCTTGCTCGCAGGCTAAGACCGTGGTTGAAATCACTCATGACGTCGTGAGGTTACATTCTACTTATTTTTCTACCAACTGACTCTACGGTGACGAAGCGTTTTACAGTGTTTTTTAGATAGCAAAAGATCCTGATAATAAGTAACGAGGTGTTAGATACAAAATGGTTTCGATGTGAGAGAACTCAAAAGGCATGACAAGCATCATTTACATCCTGTGCGGTTACACATGACAACTGACACGAATCACAAGTTTCGCGCCCATGCAAGTGTCACAACATCACAAGATTTTCACGGTGTTCAAGACGACTTTGAGGAAAACTACTTGTTTAACAAACGTCGAGCACCAGAATATCGAGACGACCTCTGAGTTCCATCTTGGCCTTTTATACTAAAACAAAAGACAGAGTGCACTGCTCGGAATTTTGAATTTGAATAGTTTCATTCATTCGGCACGTCAGAGACTCTGAGAGGTCTGGAAGCAAGCATTGCCTCTTAGGAAGGAAGTAAACAAGCCGCCTCGAAAAAAGGCCACGTTTCTCCAGTTTGTTCCAAGAAATGTCCGCTTTACGCTTGTTGGGGAAAGTCTCGGATAAAGCCTTTGTGTTTGTATTGGTTACAGCGCTCGTGACGGTGTGTGTAGCTGATGGAAAGGATTATACTACGACAGAAGATCGCGGGGAAAGGAGTGACGTGCGGTGCCGTATGGGGGAGTGCATGAATAACAAAAATATGTCTCAGAATGACTGCTCTATCAATGACGACTGTTTAACCTTCCACGTTTGCTGCAAAAACAAATGCGTAGAAAGCCGTGGGGATTGTTTAGAACAGACGTGCACTTCAGACACTGATTGCCAAAGAAACGAGACCTGCTGTACTGGTTTCTGTAAGCCAGGAAAGAACCCATCATGTGCTGATCGGAAAAGCGGTGTAAATCCTGATGTAGCCCTGATCATTATGTTATGTCTCATGTTTATTTCCTTCCTGTTCTTCTGCTATTGCGTCTGCCGAGAAAAAATTTTAGATAATCGTCTGTATTCTTCATTAATATCCACAGAGGTAACTGTGAGCACGAGCTTATCTCGAAGCCTTGAATTCCCGTCTTATCAGAGATTCAATACTAACGGTCCGTCCATTCCATCTCGAAAACTCAAAGTTCACTTTTATGTGCCCAGAATTTACAACCCACCGCCTGTCAGTTCAAAGAAACAAGACAAAGCCTTTAAACCTGCACCGCGAACTTGGTATGGTGCTACTTGTGAAACAGTCTAACCTTACCAATCACCGTATCTTTTGAGCTCTAATATCAAAAAACATGTTTTCTGAACTCGTCTCCTCACAATTTAGAAATGAAGACAAGTAACTGTGCGAGATTATTATTTTCTTTATTCGGATAATCTTTGTACCGTATTAACCCGGCGATGCAATTATTACGAGAATTTTTTAATTCCCAGACTGGAGAAAAGAGATTTTAATCCCGGTGAATTTTCGTCTACCTAAGGCTGTTTTGTAAATTCAACTCTCTAACAATCAACGCTATTTTTTTTTGTCGAGGTGTTGATTTCTTTTAAAAATTTCAGGACAAAAAACACCCTGTCGTTGTTGCTGTATTTTTGTTTTACTCGAGTGACAGTACATAAAGAGAAGAAGTAAACTAGAGAATCAATTCAGCTAAGTGGATTCTAGATTCCTTGATTTTAAAATGTTATATTATATCTCCACTTTTTTGTATGTCAGCCATTAAGATGGAAATGTTAGTTTAGTAAAGGAATTTTATCCTACCGTGAAACCAGTTTTTTGAGTCTGGCTCTGGCTCGAAAAGTAACCGCACGAAATGCTGTCTCGCCAAAATCGCGCCTAGGTACCAATAAGTGGCTTGCGTGACTTCTCACGACTCCCCCCTAACGGGAGAGCTTGCTCGCTGACTAGACTTGAAAGTGATCTGGCAAATCACGAGGTGGGAGTACTGACTCGTACCCAGGCTTCTCTTTTGTCTTGTTTCAACTGTTAGCGTGTGAAAGAGGCTAGCGGGAGGCTCTTGGCGCCGGTTATTTTTTTGGTTAGCCGTTTTATATAGTGCGTAAGGGGAACACGCGCGTGCGTCCTATGAATTTTTCCCATTGCCCTAATAAACCGGCACCTGATACACAGACCCTTCTTCGAGATGCCGGCCGGGAATAGTTACCCGGCACCGTCCCGAGCTGACCGAGTACAAATGATAAGGGACGGTGACTGGGGACGAGTCAGGTGCGAGCATGTTACGTGACTCCTGGTTACGTGCATTCAAGAGAGTACGAAGGACGAGACCTTTATACTTGCCAGTGGTGCAGTATCCATCTTGGTGACGAACGTCTCTGTCCAATTTCCTTTTCGGCTCGTTTGCTCTAGTAAATGCTCTTGGTTTTTATCCTGTGGACAGGCTACACTCTTTTTTTTATATAAGAATGTTGTTTTTCCGGCCCAGGCTGAATATTCTTATTTTTCTGCCGATTTTAGGCTGAAAGTATTCTTGTATTCTTAAATTATAGCTTATGACATTTCCCTTTTAGAATGTATTGGGGTATCAAGTATAGTTAGTGCAGGTTTTTGCGCCTTGTTGGCAAGTTTTGCCGTTCAGAGGATGGAATATAAAGTTGAAAACATAATTGTGTGGTATTTACAGTTTTTGAACACACAAAATTACATCCTTTTCAAAACCTCAGCCTGGGGTTTATTCTTAAAATATTCTTAAAATTTCGCAAATTTCAGCCTCGATATTCTTATAAAATATATTCTTATAGAAAAAAAGAGTGTACTTGGTTTTTGGCCACCTCAGTTTTAAAAGACGAGTAACACACAAACTGCGGCTACAGACATCAGAAATAACAAACCCATTGTATAACTGACTTTAATAATATCATGTTAACGGTCACTTCTGGAGATGTAAGTTGAAGCATACAAAACGTCAAGTTAGATATTATAAAAGTCAGTTATACAATGCTTTTGTTATCTCTGATGTTTGTAACCGCAGTTTGTGTGTTATTTTTTTGCTCTCTTTTCGAACCAGTTAAGCCTCGGGCCTGCCACGATTTTGCTTGTGTATCGTGCTGGAAAATTACTGGAATATCAAAAAGTTGCTACTTAAATTTCTGCATATTTTTATATCAAGGTCAATTTACCACTTCATCCCCAGGGTGATTTTCGCTGTCTTAAGAGGGGGGCTTAACTGGTCCGAAAAGGGAGAAAACGAACCGAAAAGGAAACTGGAGACAGACGTTCGTCACCAAGGTGGATACTGCACCACTGGCAAGTATAAAGGTCACGTCCTTCGTACTCTTTCGACTGCACGTATGCTCACATCTGACTCGTCCCCAGTCACGCAGTCTCTTATCTTTTGTACGCGGTTACGGAACGGTGGCGCGTAACTATTCCCGGCCGGCATCTCGACGAAGGGAATAGTCTGTGTATCAGGCGCCGGTTTTTTGGAAAACCGATTTTGAGAAAAATAAATCCGACTGTTTTGCAGTCTGATAGATCTAATGCTCAGTTATTTCTTTTAAAAAAGCATTTCACGACAAAAATTATCATTTGTCACTTCCACGTTTTTATGTAACGGAAAAGTAACACCTAAACTTTGCGGATAGGGACCCCGGGGGGCACTTGGGTATTTTTTGGGTGGGTATGTGCAGGCAAAACTCCAAATTGGCACTCCGTTCTAAAAGAAATTTCTCCTAAAATTGATACCCCGTTCTAGACATGGGCCAATTTTTTATACCCCGTTCTAGAATTCGCCCTAAAACTGATACCCCGTTCTAGAAATGGGCCAATTTTCTATACACCCTTGTACAAAGTTTGTAAATTGAAGTAGTCCTGTTTTTTAGATAGATATTTCTTTATTCGTTCGACTTATACAACAAATAAATGCTTCTTCATAATCAGCAACAATTTTAAGCAGAAGATAAAGCCGTGATCCACAATCTTTTATACCCCGTTCTAGAAAACGCCTCTGAAATGGATACCCCGTTCTAAATTAGGAGCTTCAAAATCACGACCCCGTGAGGCGGCACATACCCGTATAGGTAATGTAAGGGAGTACCCCCCCCCCCCCGTGGATAGGGATCAGAAGGTCCATCAGTGGTCCATTGCAATCAATATTCTGTTCCACTCGTTAGGGTTTGGTACAGTAAATCAAAATGTTGATAAAGGTCGTTAGAACCGTAAAAATCAAAACCAATGTCAAGGCTAGTCGATGAATTTGTAAGAAGTATCACATCTATTTAGTCAAATGGCTTCCTTTACCCATAGGGTAGAAAGACTACAAACAAGGTATGGTCACCGATGCTGAGAACCATCAAATCCGCAAGAAAAACTGTCGCAAAGCAGGATTTTGTCTGCATACTGGCTGAAGAAAGACTATTAAAGAATGACTAGTAAAGAAGTTGAAGTTGACGTTACTATGGAATGAAGGTCCTTCTTTGTGTTATGAGTCTAGAGGGACATATTTTTCCGCCCGTTTAGACTTTCCCACGCACCCACTATCTGCCCCTGGGTCTCCGAGGATGCGTTCAACGAAGAGGTGAGAGTGTCTCAGCAAGACCCTCGTCCAGGGTGGAGAGGGGGGTGGGGTGAGGGGGGGAAGGGTCATTCTACTGGCCAGCGGTTTCTTCTTCAAAAAGTAAAAAGATAAGATGGCGAGAGTGCGGAATTTCTTTTATGGTTTGCTGCAAATGAGGAGGCATTATGCCCGGTATGGTTTCAGTTGTCTTTGACATTGACTAGTTGACTCATTTTTCTGTTACTTAGTTCATGTCATGCTTTCAGGCTGGCAGAAATCGGGCGTTTTCAGGAACTTAAAACCAGCGGAAAATATGAACCTGGACAGGTAATAAACTTCAGCTTTCGTGACGACTTAACGGTACGATGACGATAGAGAGTTGAATTTTCACGCTGTGCGAAGCGCGGTGTACAAATTCTAGGGAAAGGGACTAATTTAGTTGCCTAAACAACAGAATGCAGGGACTGACTTAGTAATCATCCCATATCATTAAAATTATGTACAAAACCATATATTGTTGGGCTCACATGTCACGTTCTTCAAAGCCCTCGGACAAAGTGGACGTGAATATTTCTGAATCAGGATTCTCCAGAAAATCTGAAGAAGAAAGAGAACAACACTTAATGGGCGAAAACTGATTGTTGTATTAAACGATTCCTCTTCTCTGTGGTACAGCTGTGTGAATGGGTAGATAATAGGTATGGGATGAGGTTGCCGCAGTAGCCCCCTCTTTCATTGGAGGAGTCCAGGGTTTTGGGTCACATGAGGCACAACTTTTATCTTTGTGAAAAATGTGTTTCATGAGATGAATACTACAAGATCCTTAAACATTGGTTGCCCAGGTTTGTTTGAATTTAGAAGCATGCACTTTTCTAATGACTTGAATTGTTCCTTTAATTTTTGCATAGCTGTTCCTTCACAGAATATTTGGCTACAGAGGTGTCATACTTTTCACGTGGACAGCAAGGGTGTATGATCGGGACAAGGAAACAAGAGAAAATGAAAAGTTAGTCACAGCAAAAAGCTTGAACCCATTTTCCAACAATGCCATTTGAAACATGTCTGGTTAACACCTGGGCAAGATGGATGACACTGCCTCTTGTTCTTGATTATAAATACGCACTCTTGGTGGTAAATATTTGTGGCTGCCCAAGCTTGGAGGCCCAGTGCTTATGTACCAGGGCTGTGTTCTTGCAGGTTGGGGTGATAAGTGCAAAAAAGAAAGTCTCATAATTTCAGACCTGGAGCAGTTGGCATCTCTAGTTTATACTTGTGTGATAATATTTATGTGTACCTTCGGGTTATTAATGCATGTTATTCTGTTAACAGGTCATTTGAGGAGAATGGATCCTTCAATCCTGGGAAAGAAATAAAAGCTGAAACACAGACTTATTACCAGGCACTAATCGATAACAGGGATTCCCCATTTATTGTAAGTTTCAGTTTCCCTTGTCATATAACTGTTATCCTTATAAATAATGGAAGTAGAACTGAGTGGAGTCCAGTTCCATCTTTAACCATACAATTAATAATTAAACAAAATTGGACGACTGTGTGCCGGGAGTCAGATTTGGTTAATAGCGGGTATGATTTTGACATGAAGTTCTGTTACTAATAATCACAACTAAAACAAAATTTGTGATTGCTTAAACTTTTCTTTACATTAAAACACAAGATCTTCTGAGAGCTTTTTGCTACATGAGAATAATGAATCTATTTAACAGTTTGGGATAATTTATAGACTACATTAGATATTGTGAAGTAGGTACACAGGTCATTGTGTTTCAATATGGGGTGAACATGACCCAAGGGCCAGCTAAGGATCAGCAATTTTATCGTCTTTATGCTATTTTTTATTTTATTTCAGAGAGCTCAACCCGAGATTGTAACATTTCTTGGGTATGAAAGTGACAATGCGCTCTACTCAATTCCAGGCAAGCACATAGTTAAACCTGTTTCTCTTTAACAATTTCAGAAACTGTAACTTGTACAGAAGTGGAAAGAATGGATAAAAAACTGTCAGTCATACATTTATTTATATATCACCATCAACATGACCTCAAAATTACCGGTAATTTTGGTGAAAGTGCTGGTTTGTAGAAATGTATAGGTTCTTCCCTGTGTAACTAACTAATTTTTATGTTACTGTATTTTAGGTCTGGACTACATATCTCAAGAAGATGTGCTTCCATACACAGTTTCAGATGCATTTTCTCGTCCCATTCATCACGAGCTCTTTGACAGATTCTTGTATCCCGAACCAGGGAAAGGTATTAAAAATACCAATAATGAAATAAATATTACCTTTCAATTCCATCACTGACTACAGTCACTGACGTCAAAGATGGTATAAAAGCAAAATTATTCACGATTGTCTTCATGCAAGACAGTGGTGCATTAGGTTAACTGCTTTGACCATGAAAAACTCTTAAAACAGCTACGCAAAGACAAAACTGAGCAATCAGAGCATTCACTTTTGTTTTGTTATAAATGAAAGTGTTTTTCTTGATGACAGGCATTTGTTATTTGTACGAAGTGTTCTGAAATACAAAGGTAGCCTCAAATGCAGACACTCCTTTGAACTGTCACACATTCCTCAAGGACCACAATGTTACAAAAGGCTACTGGAAAACTCAACTAATAGTGTGGTTTTGACTATAAATTTCTTTTGTCTACTGTCAACATTACATTGGTAGTCTAGAAACAGGCCAGTAATTGCATATTGCATTAACTTCTGTCAAAAAGTGATATTTTTGTACCACTGTTCTAGTGCCACCTTTTGCACCTCGTGAGGCTCTTCAGGCATGGCAAGAAAAGAACCACAAATGGTTGGAACTGACAGATGTGCACAGAGAAACACATTCTAATGTTAGGATCACTGTCATGCCGTTTTACATGGGAACTAAGGTGTGCAACTTTTTTCTGACCTCTGTTATTTTGTACTTATCAATGGAAAGTATTTACTGTAGACATGTTTACCAGGTCTCCTTAAACTTGTGTGTATTTGGCCACAAAAATACTGTAAATGAATAAATAACTGAACATATATTTTAATATATAAACAGATTTGTGAAAAATACATATTATCATAATAAGTCAAATTGAAGGAACACCTGAAGACAATTTTTCTTTAACAGATTCACTTTAAAATGCACTGCTAAAAACTAGGAATTCTTGGCTATTTTTTAAAGTTTTTTTTCAGTTTCACCGACATGATTCTGTAGATTTAGAAAAAAAAAAGAAAATGAGAAAATGAGAAAAAAACAGATGACTTAAGGGAAAATGCCGACTGCAACTATAACACCTTATCTTTAGAAGAACTGACTGATTTTGTCGTACTTTCAGAACAACCTCTCATCCCAGGACTACTGGGTGAGTATTTATATTTCCTGTGTTATACATAACCTCAAGTTTCTTTGAATGCTTAAAGGGTTGATGATTTTGATTTTATCACCTCCAAATAGCGGCTCTTCTACCATATTCCAACTTTGTTCCCAGGGTTCTGTCCTACCCATCCCTGTAGGACAGAACCCCTGGAACGTCAAGATTGACCATATTCAGTGTGCAAAGAAAGTATTGTTCGATAGCCCGGGGCTAGTGGATTTTGCTATTGGGCTAGTGAATTTTGTTTTTAACTTGCCCAACGGGCAAGTGATGTTTTTTGAAGAATTCGAATAACAGAAGAACTGTGAAGTCAATTCTTCTCGTCAAAAAGCTTTTGGGGCTAGTTGAAATGACATCTGGGCTAGTAAATGCTAGCTTCAGCTTGCCCGAATGGCAAGCTGTAAAAATGATTTTTTTGCACCCTGCATATTCCTGATCAAACTGGAATTTGAAAATTTGGTTTTTGAGTAGAGGAGAAAAATGTCTTGGAGCAAAGAGTACAAACAAATAGATAAATAAACTCATTGGCATCACTGCCATTATTCGCACTCATTCATCCCCAGTCCACACTGGAGGAATGTGAGTGATGAAAAAGTAACTTTGCCACCCTTTATACCCATATTATAGAGGGACACCAACAAATTCCCCTCCTTATTTCAGGTAGCCTGCGTGGAAGGCGTTCTAAAGGGAAGAGAAAGGGAATCGGGTGCATGGGAGAAGGGAGGAACCTTCCCTCTTCCTTGCACACCATTCGCTCTTCTCGTGAGCCTGAAATCCCCTTGGCCTTCCCCTCGGAATGCCTGCCACGCATGTTATATTTGAGACTTCAGAATTTCAACAACAGTAAGTTGGTTGTCACCTTGCCTTTCTTAAAGACCCAAATAAAGACGACTGTGTATGAGACTATAGAACCGAGTCAGTGGCCTTAAAGTTCAGTTAGAATAAAGACCTGCTAATAGGCTGGAATGCAGCTTATTTATTTGCTGACTAATTATTACACTTCTCACAAGATTAGATGTTATTGTTTCAGTGGCGATACTGCATCAGAATTGAGAATCTTGGACAGGAAATTGTTCAACTTCGAGAAAGACACTGGAGAATATTTAGTCTGTCGGGCACACTGGAGACTGTCAGAGGGAGGGGTGTGGTGGGACAGGTAAGGCTTTTTGGTGAAAAACGACGCCTGAAGAAAATACACAATCTTTCTTTCCAATCTTTCTTAATATGAGTCATTTCGTATATTTCCACTTACTTTCCTCTGCCAAGAAGGGTTTACGGTCATCTCGCCACCATCCAACTCGCCACCAAGAAGTCAATTCGCTGCCAACCAGCTCGCCACCAGCTGTTAAGTCTGCTTAGATTGGAAGATTGGGAGCAACAAGCCAAGCACCCCGGGCATAACAATCCACTGGTCGACGGGGGTTATCGTTTAAGATCTTGTCTTATCTTAGGCGAGTAGACTGTGTTTTAATGGCGAGTTAGAGTTTACTTCTTAGTGGCGATTTTGTTGGTTGCGAGATGGTTTGGTGGCGAGGTGACCGGATATCGTCCAAAAGACGCCCTAGGAACAGGTCTGAATTTTCGAAGATTTTCTCTTAAGGGAGAAATCATCGTTGCCTTGCTTTCTATTTCTGAGATCCGTATTGAAGGTAGATTTGTCTTCTCCATTTTTTCCGAACACAACTAACAAGCTCTTAACAAAAGGTAGGAAAGTTAAAACTGTGACGGAAATGACATGTGACTGTTTAAAGATTAAGGAAAGCCGATTAAAGTTGAAAATAACTCAGACGTTTCGGGAATACTGTCCCTTTTTCTGTGAGGTTTTAAACAGCAAAAAAAGGATCAACGTTAGAAAATGATTTCTTAAAAAAAGCTGAAAATAAGTTACTGACGCCGTTTTGTGACTTATATAGGAACCTGTCTTGTCACCAGAGCAACCAGCTTTCCAATATAGCAGTCACGTGTCATTACAAGCACCCAGCGGAAACATGTGGTGAGTAAAGAGTAAGAAAAAACATTGTACCCGTACGGCACGGTATACTGTCAGTACTTGTACGCTATAAGTGACTTAGCCTGTACAAAGACCCTCTAATTTCTCTTTAGAGATCGTCGAGCGCGCGCGTATCACTGGAGACCTTTATATATATTCTAGAACGAGGACGAAATTCGACGTAAAGTTTTAGTCGTGTATTTTCAAACAATATACACCTCAGAAAGCTTCATTGAACTTTTGCACCTATCAATGTAAACCCCGTCGGGAGAGGCGGGCAAGGGGTGGGGATTTGACAAATTTTAAAATTTTTTGATCAAATTCCCCAGGGTGGGAAACGAAAGGTCAATCAAAAGTGTCAAAAAAAGCTCCCACCCCAGGGGAAAAAATCTAAACGAACAATACCATAATAATGTATAAAACGAATTAAAAGAACATTTCAAAAGTACGCCCTTACTAAACGTAAGCTCCGTTAAATTACTCGCTGTAATTAAGTATTTTCTCTCTCCACTAGCATCTCTTATTTTGAACAACAAAATCACTCTAGGAAGATTGACCGTGCTATTATGATATTAATGAAACGTAAAATGCTTTATAACATCTGTTCAACATGTCGGAACAGGTCGGATCAGTGATCCGTAAAAAATCCTCTAACTTTCATGGGGGAGTTCGATTTCAATCGATTTTTACAATCAGATGGGAACTTGAAGATAAAAACTTTCTCAAAATAGACATTATCTGTTTAGATGACAGTTTAACAGTTCGGGAGTATGCCAGTTTTGGAAGAAGCGATGACGTCATGATTCTATTGTTCTGCTAAAAATACGCAAAAATGGGAAAAAATAATCGCCAAAAACAAGGGAGCTTTTTCAAAGCCTGTTCCAGGTCCACTCGTTCAATATCCGGAACTTCCGAGCTAGCAGTGCTGATGAAGAAGCTTTTTCCTTGCTTTTTGAATGTCAAGAGCAGTTTTGTGCCACATTACGGTAGTTAAAATCGACAGTTATCAAACAGCGTTCGAAGACGTCGCCGCCATCTTGACGGGCATCGAATGTAAGTACATGTCTTTATGTTTAGTTTTCAGTATCTTGCCGAATTTTTACGAAATCAAGACTAATTTTCCTCAAAACTACAACGTGTAAGGTGTGTTCAGGCAAAGTTTCATCGATGGTAACAACCTAGTAAAAATGGTAACCACACATTGAAAATTGCCAACGGACAGGAAGGGTTACCATATTGATGGTTATGCCTTAGTCTGTCTATGTATTTTAAGTTATAAGGGATCAAGTCTGTTTTTGGTTGTGTTCACCGGCAATGTATGCGACTCTGATCTAGGAATCACTTTATTGATCCAGATCATGTGTGTGGAATGAGTTTTAAATCAGTGTGAGTAGGTTCTTATATTGATTTCTTATATTTTGATCAGGAAGTTCGTCCAAAATGTAGACATATTACAAACATGTTGTCGCGTTTGTGCCAAAAAGCTGGGAAAAAGAACGAGGAAGACAAATGTTAAATATCTTCAGAACGACATATTTGTGCTCTGAGGGCAAAATGTTGTTTTAGGTTCGCCTCATGTTACTCTGTAATAAAAAATTTAATATCTAAATTCAACCCTACCTCAGTAAAATCAAACATGTGTTTTTGTCTCTTTGTAGTGTGGTCACAGGCTTACCTACCACCACAAAAGCCCCTCCTCCCTCTCAAAAATGGGTAAGAGGGAAACAGGTTGGAGGGGGGGCTTATATACCTTGTGAGTGGAAGCTCACACTCAATGACCATTCAACCATAGAAGAGACTGTGGCCCTTATTCAAGGGGCTTTAAAGGAGATAGATGAGGAAGGAGTCATGGAAGTGGAGGCTTGTGAAGATTTTCTTCACATAATGTTCAATCCCTTGCGTCAAATATTGTTTGTACTTTACAAATGCCAAATACATAATTTGTTCAGTCCCTGTGCTGTGCAAAGGTCAATCTGAAACAGGAAAAATGCCACACTCTCCCCCATCAATACCTTTGCAGCAGCAATAAGCCCACATTTTATGTCATAATATTGAATATGTTTGTATTTGAATAAATCCTAAATTATTGAGATTCTCTCGATGAAAAAGCATCCATATTAATGTATCGTCTTCAACAAATCATCCTCCCTAATAAATAATACATGAGAGACATCTCACAAGATAACTATTGAAGACCTATGTCAGCTGCTACTGTCTTCATTATATCAATTAAGCTTTGGTTTTTGGTTTTCATGTCCAAGAAGGTGTTAAAAAAACAAGATTTTGAGATATAAGAGTGTGTATAATATGCGAGCCAGCGAGCCATGGCAGCGAGTCATGCAGGTCAGATACAACTCATTGAAAACAATACATAAAAATTGAAAACAGTAATACCGAAAGAATTAACCTAAAGCTTACCATGGTAAATAAGTGTTTAACCCTAAACAGCACTTAATCATAACCCTAACCCCAACCTAAACCCTAATCAGTAAAAAGCATGCCCAACCGTAATCTGTAAAATTTGCAGTTTTTACTTGTTTTTACTTTATTTTTGCTGATGGTCTGCGAACTTGCATAGCTCCCTTGCTCATAGTTTATGTCAGGACCAGAAATAAAATGTTTGTTTACAAAAAACAAAATGTAACAATAAAATTAATAACTTTTATAATTGTATCTTTACTCTGATGTGTGAGCTTTGTTTTCTTGAAAGTGCTGTTCCATAGAAACATGGAGAACTGTGAAAAAGAACTTTGGAAAACTTATGTTGTGTCCATGCCAAGTGCAGCAATCATTATTATTTTGGGCCAAACCTTGTCTAATAGAATTGTTTGAGGGTCCCCACAGAGAAGACTCGGAGAAAAGTGCTCCTCAAAGTTACAATGCCTTTGGTTTGAAGGCAACCCCAGAGTTAAAAACAATATTTAGTATTATTCGGATATACATCAAATCCCATATAAGAGGATATTTTATAACAATCTATAACCCTGTTGATCTCTGACTTCTGGTCAAATCCGGTGGACTACAAGACTATAGTATCCCATTTTAATCAGTATATCCAAAAACATGTAACAGGCATTCTTAGTTTTCCAATATGTATATTAAATTCTAAAGAGTCTCTTGCATTTGTTAAGCTTGAGCAAATACTCAGTGAATTTCAGACAGTGGAATAATTGAAAGCAGTAGGTTTTTTTGAAGCGGCACAAAGAAAAAATGATCAGGGATGATAAGCAAGAATTTCACTTTGTGGGTTTTCAAGAAGAAAACGCGAACACAATACCCTCAGAAATCCCTAGTAAACCTGTCGTATACCTGGACGGAACCCCTTCAAGACATACACCAACAGAACATCATATTCGAAAAAAGCAGATATTTTACTCACAAATGACTCGCTTGCACCAAAACAATAACCTGAATTACAGCCGTCTTCTCCGGCCAGTCGCTCACTCCCCAAGAGAGAAACAGAAGCAACGGGAAAAATTACAGTAAAACTTACTCTTTGCTAACATAAGGAAATAAGTTATAGAACAACTCACTTTTTTAGTTGTTTCCAAAGCATTATTTTTTCTTATAATATAAAAAATTAATGAAAGAAATAGGCACAAACTTGTTAGCGTGCTTACCATTTACATACGCAGTGAGTACGAAGTGCCTACAAAGCGCGCAATAAGCGAAGAACTATAGCGCAAGAATGGTTACTCCTTGTCCTCAAGGTACTTCCCAATTCATAGTAAGGAGAAGACAAATAAAAGGCTCGATGAAACAAGAATAAACGAGAATTTCTGTCAATACCCTTTCCTCTCCCTTGTCCGCCATTTTGTATGTTTTGAAAATGACCATCGCCATGGTGATCATGTTATGGTTGGTGACGTAGACCATTGTTTTCGCTTCTTCCAAAACTGGCATACTCCCGAACTGTTTAAAGTATCGGATTATGGCGATTAAAACAAATGAAAACTTCACACTTTTCTCCAACAGCGTGATTTTCAGAAAGCCTCAAGGGACGGACTTGGCAACCGCTTCTGAATTGATACCAGGCTTCTGTCGGTCAAAGTCAAATGTCCCGACCCCGGGGTCGCTTCGCACGATCAAAAGCCCGACAGGGGGATAGTCTCAGGCATCAAATCCCCGCCCCTTGCCCGCCCTCCCCCCCCCCCCCACGGGATTTACATTGATAGGTGCATTTTTCCAGCAGAAAAGTTGGCAATACTGTATTATTCTGATTGAAGCAGGTTAAGCCGTCTCCTGATCCGAAAATGATAAAACTTCTAACATTTGATAACTTGTTTCCGCCCGACTACGACATTCTTGCTAAGGCCTCATTTCCACTGTTGAGTAATTTTTCCGTGGGAACCCGTGTAAAATTTACATGCGTAAAATTAAATTGAGGCAATGTCTGAAAGGACCCGCGTAAACGTGAAAGTTGAGCGAGGTTCAGCTTTTAGGTGTACGCGTGACCCGCCATACAATAGAGACAGCCTCCTCCTCTGGCGCTTCGTTTTTCGCATGGCAGAGGCGAGCGCGAAACGAGTGACTGGTGATGAACCGCAAGGGACCATGGGAAGGGTACAGACGGCAGGCGAAGCCCGTTGTCTCCTTCCCGCCTTCCTTTGCGCGCTCATTTTCATCAAAAGAGAGACGTCTGGGTACGAGGCAGCAATAGAGAGTTTTAGATTCGAGTTTACCGCGAACCTCTAACCGCTGGAGGTCACGTGACAAGTCTTTCACGTCACGTTTGAGGTTTACGACGTGCGTTTTCAACGTGGGGAGGTAGGGTTTCACAAAAATCTTGTGGAACAAGTCTTTATCCATTAACAGAGGCACAAATTCGGGCGAAATGCTAAATTTGATAAATCCTATTGGATCTTGAAAACAAGTGCCATTCATGGCTGCTGATTCAAAATGGCGGCCGTAATCTAATCCACCGCCAATCTGAATCGAATTATGTTTTAACGTCGAACCGCAAACGGGTAACCGCAAACCGCGGTTAGAGGTTGGCGGTAAACTCGGATCTAAAACTCTCTAATGTTTCTATTTTACTTACGCGCATAAAAATTTCGTGCTTGCGCACGTAAAAATTACGCGGTAGTGGAAATAAACCCTAAAACTCGTAGTAGAATGACGACGGCTACCACGTTTTCCCGCCAAAATGACGCTGGTTCAAGTGCTTACACTACGTAAAGGTCTCTAATATAAAACCGCCGGGGGTTTATTGACTGCAAGCTCAAGGAGGTGGGGGTGGTTAAAAGAAAAAGGAGATTTTTCTGTTTTTCTCGCGCTTCGCGCTCGTTCTCACACGCTGTCAAATTCTTTAAAAAATAAAAAAAAGAAAGGAAAACGTCCGTGGGTAGGCTATAAGTGACTTGGTTTGGAAACACTATTCCAGTGTAATGTCATACATTTACAGAGGAGAAACAATACTTACTATTCATCCGTACGACAGATTTCGTGTAAATGATGGTTGCTTGTTATTCTTGTTAATACTTATAATTTTAGCTCAGGTTTGACTAAGTAGTCTCCGACCACTGTCCTATTTTAGTGGAGTGACAGGTGAGAAGCCGGTTTTTACTGTATTATCCTTCCTATCGTTTTTCTTTTAGGGGGAAATTCCGATTTGAGCGCTCAGATGGCAGTATGTTTGAAACTCCAATTCCTCCCTTCGCACTGGACAGCAGAAAAGAAGATACACCGGAACCACCGAGAACGACTTGAAAAAGACACACGAATCATTTAAAGAATTGCCATAGGCTTACATTGAAGTCTTCACTACCGCGTGATAAGCCTGCGTGACGGGCCATCGAATACACCTTTTTAGCTTGCATGTTTTTTTTTTTTCATTTCAGACCACGTGATGGCAACCCAGAGAACTGCTTCTATCAAATATCGTCCTATGCCAGGAGCCCATGCACTCCCGCCTATGCACGTGGAAGCAAGCGCATATGTGTTCATAATTTATGAAAATCAAAAGGCAAATTCCCTGGAGAAAATCACGTGGTCTGAATTTGGAAAGCTAAAAAGGTCTATTAGAAGTTAAGGGAGAAAATTGAGCGTGCAAGAACGCGAAGAACGCTCGTGGGAGGAGTTGCTACTGTGGCTTTGTTATATCTCCCTTGCTAGGACCCTTGGGAGCCCTCGTCGTTCTCGCGCGATGCGATTTTCCCCCTCCCTACTCCGTTCGATTGCCTGTCACGCATAGGTCACCACGCGCGACGTAGTTCCCGATACAGATTGTTTGCAGCATGGCCGCCTGCAAATGACAACGGATACGGACATGTGAAGCACTTATGGCCGAAGATGTCGGATAAAAAAGCAGTATAATGACAACGTAAATGAACTCTTGTAGGTGTTCCCTTTTTGCGCGCCGAATTTTTTTCTATACTGTATATTCACATACATTTTTGGCCCCATTTATATGGAGAAAAGTTGTCCGGGTAGAAGCTTCACCTGCCCACCCGAACAACCCTGAGCGAGCCAACTTTACTCGTATCTCCTTACAAAATATGGCGAACCGTTTACACGAGAAAGAAACGTTGGCTCGGCTATAAGGGTGGAGCTGATATTAGGAGCACTAGCCCTTTGCTAAGGATAGCACTTAGGGCCTGTTTACATGGAAGTGGGGGACCTCAGGTAAGTGAGGTAACCCGCTTAGGTGGGGTAACCCGCCTGTCCATATAATCTCATTTAAATGTGATCAAGTCTACTTGATAGGTGGGTGACCCTCCACATGTACATGTTACCTCACCTATCTGGGGTCCCCAGCTCCATATAAACAGGCACTTACAGCGTCAGCTTTTCCATCTACATAAATCAGTCTTATGTTTACTGATAACAAGGCAATCCTTGGACGACAAGTCGGAGATAATTTATGATTTCTAAGCCCCACTTTTTTTAGTTATCTTTATAAGAACTTAAATTTTCCGTTCCAGATTGCTCAGTCGATCGATATTTCCATTTATAAATTGTGAATACATAGTGTATATATTATTTGTAAGTGGAACGTTACTTTCTCCAAAAACAAAGTAACCATTCATATAAAAAAACATTCCTATATAAAGAAGCAATAATGACTGAATAAAAATGTTGTTTATACTGTAGTAATTTCGTATTGTAGGAGGTGTTCCCTATATAGTCTAATTACCTACAGAGTCAATATCGTCATCTGCAGTGTATTTGCTTTGGTTCAGTCTTAACCTTTCTGTCGTGTTTCCCGCGTGTTGGAAAAGAATCTGATGATTTCTGACGTCAAAATGTTTAAACCTCAAGCCGTAGGCAAGTGGTTTCATTGCAAGTGACAATATTAGGCTCCAGTTGTTCGAAGGTTGGGTAGTGTCATTCACCAGATAAATCACTATCCAGTGGATAAGTATTAGGGAAACCAATTGCGCTACTGTCAGTGGATAGAGAGTTATCCGGTGGATAGCTGTAACCACTGGCTCGTACCCAGACGTCTCTCTCTCGATGAAAATGTGCGCGCAAAGGAAGGCGGGAAGGAGACAACGGGCGAGACGGCGCTTCGCCCGCCGTCCGGACGTTTCCCATAGTTCCTTGCGGTTCATCAACAGACGCTCGCCTCTAGCTTGCGAAAAACGATCGAAGCACCTGAGGAGGAAGCTGCGCTAACCACCTTTTGAACAACCTGGGCCAGTTGTTTAAAAGTTGGTTAGTGCTATTCACCAGATACATGTACACTACTACCCAGTGGATAACTATCGGAAATACCAATATTGTTATTGGCTCGATACAGATTTCTTCGGTGTAACCACCTCATGAATATCTGGGCTTTGCGAGTTCGCCTGGGTGCGAAACAGTGTGGCGACCCCCAACCCCTTCTTCGAAAAATCCTAGCTAATAGGCCCCTATCTTGAAGTCATATCGTCGAACGTTTTGATCGTTCCACTTTATTACTAGAAGGTATAACAGTATCTTCTTAAGTATGGTCGAACAGTTCTTTGATGCTGCAAAAGTCACTTTTTCCGAACAACCAAAAAAATGTGGTAACACATACTTATATTGGGAAAATATATCTAGACTTTCAAAAAGTCTTTACTCCGCTTTGCAGTCGACCACTTCGTAGTCTAAAAACCTCGCTCCGCTGGCTTTACAGCCTTTCTCATTGCTGTGTAACTCTCGAGGTTGACAGACTTGTTGCAAGTCTTCACGAAAACGTAACTAAGCACATTCAAACTAGAGAGAGAACACTTGTCGAGAACACAACAACTCTTCTTCATCCATTTTTTAGACCTGACAGTTTTTGAATTTTTAATTAAGAGAGAGTAATTTTAGATTTGTGCGTGACAATCTAATACTGATGCGAAGTTATTAACTGTCTTAGGACGTGTAAAAAGGGTTACCAAAAGATTTTAAGCCGGAGAAATATCATATATCAAGGAATTTAGCAAGAATTAGCAGAAAAGAAAAAAAAATTATGAAAACGGGTTTTAATCTGATATAACTTTTAAACAAATTTTCTCTCCTGCAAAGAAAATCAAATGCGAACATGCAAATCCCACACGTATTGAAACTCAGCACTCCTGGTGCCTAATACAAGTAAGGACAAATAAAATACGAATCGTCTATCACTTTAAATATAGGAGTGCACATCTTTCAAAATCTTTTTTATTTAAAAGATCTTAAAACCCGTGCGCGTCGTAATTACTAGGCAACGCTTGGGAGCTGCAACTATTTTTGTGCGACCAAGGTTATATAAATTAAGAGCCTACGTTTATTTGTCAGCGCTTAAATCACGTTCAAGTAGTCGTTTGAGCGAAAATGTTGTGTTATAATAATGGCTCTTTCTGCTCTTTAAACACCGAGAAAGAGCACTAAACTGCTAATGACGTCATCGCAGTCGAATAGCAGCAAGGGTTTTAGTGGGAGTGAAATTTTTTTAGTGAGCGTCTTGCTGTCTAGGTGAAAAGTCAAAGCGCGAAAATTTATGAAGATGCTTTGTGGCAATAAATGGATAGGGTACTAATGGTGCGTGGGCATTGCTTAGTGCGCGGAGTGCGCAAGCGAACTGTGTCTCTCAGTTACGTAACTGCGTAACTGCTATTTTTAGCACAATTGTTCCTCTCTACCAAATATGGCAAGTGTGTCCAAACATAGAACAAGCGGAACAAGCGGCTTTCCCTCTTGTTGGGCACTAAGGGCTCATTGCGCATGCACCAGGTTAGTTTACTCACAACACTCAACATGGATTCGGAATTTTATAGAATCGTTATCGCAATTATTAGTATGCGTCGGGCTTATTAGCTTTAAAACATCCACAAGCTATATTGTATCTATTGACCAGTTTGTTTCCAATGCTTTATGCGCGTTATTTCGTGAAGGAAATGCACGAAGACGCGATCACGTTTTGGGAACCCTTTTCGCGGCAACAGAGGTGTCTTTTTTCCAAACATCTTTGCAAGTGAAGTGAAGATATTGTTGTGTGGTGTAATATTGCTGCGGCAAAAATGCCATCTTCTAACATCCCGGTCCCAGAGAGAGATACGGGGAACTCTCCATCCCGTAAAAGCAACGTGGAGGACTTACGAAGACACAACACCAAGCTGCGGTCGGATTTGGAAGCCGAGCGGGCGAAAGTTCGGCAAGTTTTGCGGGATAAATCTGCAGAGATAAAGAGAATTCAAGAGAACTTTGAGAAGGAAAAGCAGAAAGCGGTAGAACTAACTACAAAGCGGTTAATGAACGAGCATGCTGCAGAGATAAGGAGAGCGCGAGAAGGTGCTGTCAAGGAGAAAGATAACGAACTCAGACAAGTGGTGAAATTTAAAGAAGAAGAGGTCAAAACTATGAAACAGCAAATTGCAGAGGAGAAGGAGAAAAATCGGAGCGCTGAAGAAGAGTTGAGAAGAGTCTTAGTGGATAAGGGTAAGGAAGGAGAGGATCGTTCGGAAATTGAACGAAAATTACGAAGCGAAATTGCTGTGCTTAGGGACCAAAAACAAAAAGCGGACGAAATGTATCGTTTGAAAGCTGCAGACGACAACGAGAAGGCCGAAATTATACGACGCTTAAAAGCCGAGCATGATGTGGAGCTTCAGAAATTTCTAAAGGACTCGAAACGCGAATCAATCCATAGTTTGCAGCAAAGGAGGTTAACTGAAAGAGCTTTGGAGGAAAAAGCCCACGAACTAGCGTTCAAGGATCACTTAGCAAGGAAACTAGAAGCTGAGAAAGGTGATCTACAGAGAAGGTTATCACACTCAGGCGATTCGGAAACTTTACGAAGGTCAAGTCTACGGACGGATGAACGATTGGATGAGAGTGTAAGTAAAATTTTAATTTCAGAATTTAGAGGCTAAGTAAGAGAATACAACCCTTTAAAACCTTTAAAACTAGGTTATCTTTTGTCAGTTCTGGAGTGGATTTTAATCACTTAATTAAAATTATGGTTTCCTTCTACTTTATCGGCAAAGTGTAAATTAAAATCCATACAAATTTCAATTGTCCCTGTCTTAACAATATTATAGAAATAAGCTTATTCTTTTTCGGCCAGATTTTAATAATATTTATGTCTGGGGATCAGTACTGGTGGTGTAGTTAAGCTCGCGATATGTGATACATTGTTTTTCCTTCCGTTAGCGATGTATCAATATAGCCGTAGTAAACATGTATTTTCTCATTGTGCAAATGGGATTAGAGAGGGTCGTCGATTGATAGGAAGATGGCATTGTAGCGTGAATAAAGTAGTTTATCGTGATCTTAAGTCGAATTTTTTAATATCACTTTACAATAATCCTTGTTGGGCTCTGAATATAATCGATCCTGCTCAAAGCAACTCTCTCCAGCTTCGATGATTACACTGTGGATTTCGCGTTTCTTGTTAGCTGGTGTTTACACTTTTGGTCGTTCAAATTCCTTTGAGACAGCCTTGTGAAATGACCAGTTTGTTTAAATTTTTATCTCCTTTAAAAAAAATGCACGAAGAACACAGTTGAGAGAGCTTTGAGAAAAATTTCATATTTCCAAAGATAACTTGATACATGTACATTTGAAAATCCATTAGTACAAGATTTCTAAAACTTTTCTAGCCTTAAGTTTTGTTTACAAAGTGTGCTAACATGCATGAGCTAAAATTAAAGTGCATTGTTTCAGCAAGATCTATTTGCTTAATTGTAGTAATAAAAAACTTAAATTTTCCTTGTAAAAATTCACTAGATTTATTTGGTACAATGTACATGTACCATTATGAGAACTGTAAATTTTTTAATGACACTTCATCAATTGCAGCAAATGACAGGCTAAGAACTAATGTGTACAGTGTAATGCACTGATGCAATTTTGACAGTAATTTGAATGCGTTTGATTAACTTTTCTTTTTTCCACTCACGAATCAGTAATATCATAATCAAAATTAGAACTTTTGTTTCGGTATCATCACCTCACAATAATTTTCTCCAGGCTGTTATCCAGTATTTTCTGGCATGAATGCCTAAAATGATTATATTCCTCTATTAAATCTTAAATTGAATATGAATTATACATTTGCCATTAAACCTACATGTAGCTGTTTCGTAGTTTCCTCATAAAAGTAGGACAAAAATTTATTCCACTGTGCTTAAATTGCTAAAGTTGCAATTTCATTAAATTTATCTCAAATTTTTATACTGCAAGTGGCTGAAAAAATTTCACTCCTAAATCTTTAACTTAACTTTTGTTTCAATAATTACTAGGTTTTTTTTCAACTGGAGTAGTACTTTGTACCAGCCACAAAAGTGTGCAGATTGTGGAGAGTAAACCCTGGTACCCCGATACCATATCGTGTTTTGCAGTTAAACCAGTCAAATGTGTTAAAATCAGTACACTTTTAAGAAAATTGTCTATTCATTGAGATGTAATCTGGCACCCTTCTTTGGAGGGCTGTTTAGTAATGAGCCTATCAGAGCTGAAAAGAATAAATATCAAGAACCAATTCAACTTACATGACTGATAGCTAGATTCTTGTAGCGTCAATGTGGAGCCCCTTGAGCGAGGGCATGTTATTACGGTTTCTATATATGTTTCCTGTCCATTATCTATGGTATATTATGTAACGAGATAGATACTATGTTGTGACACTCTGCGACAAGAGACAGCGTACCAAATGTCCATAAAAAACCACATGTTTGCAAGGCAACACCATTCACCAGGGCATTCTCGTTGTAAAGTGACTTCTAAACTGAATGTGTACTTTTTCAAAAATATGAAACAAGTATTCTAGCAGATGAGGTTGGTTCAGTGGCCACAGGCAAAGTTTTGACATTTTACAGTTATGGCTCAGGTATTGTTGAAAAATGACAGGAAACTTCTTGCCAAGATTTAGCATGCAAATGTCATTAATGTCATGTAAGTTTCCATATACTGTAAAAACCTAAAAAGTTCATCCAAGTGTTTTATTTTTCTTAACTGACTTATTTTTGCATGGCTTTAACGGTTTAATTGAGTTTTGTTTGGATCTTTCTTTGACTTACAGCCTCTTGCAAAAAAGGACAAAGAAAGAGAACTAAAAAAGAGAAATGCTGAACTGCAATCAAAGGTGGAAAGCTTGGAGAAGAAGTGTGCAGTATTAGAGGTAATAGCTTAGCTGGCATGTTTTGCACCAGTTTGTATATTTGGAAATTACAGATTGGTAAATTGAGACTTGTGAAACTCGAACTTTGTGATAATTTACTCCCTTAAAATATCATTGTAACACAGCATGGAAAGAGATTCATGCTTCTTGGTGTTACATGTATTATATTTTTTCTTATTCTTAAGTTTTTAAACAGGTTGAAGTGCTTTTGATTGAGTATCCAGGTAACTAATAGGCTGTATTGTTTTAATGTATGTAATTTTTGTCATCCCCGAACAATATTTAAACTTTTTGTAAATTTTTCTTGAAGGCTGAAATTATCAGGGGTCAACTGCACTGAATTTCGATTTTATAGACCTTTCCTGCATTCTTGTGCTCAAAGGTACCATCTCGAAACTTTGGGTGGACAAAATACAGTATTCAGTGATTTGTATGAAGTTGTCTACCTGACCCTCAGCCTCATTTCTTTGTGTTTGCTCACTGGAGCGGAATGCGGGAAAGGTCTATTGTCTCTCCCACCCCTACTTAAGAACACCAGAGTTAACATATCATAAGGCATTAATTTCTTTTGTAACTGTGTCCTTATAAAATGTACAATTATACGTCAAGTTGCTGAGATCTTCCTAAACACTACAATTTTATGATGTGCTCTTTCATTACTGAACGTCTTGAAAAGGAAACATGTTGTTTCATTTATTTAAGGAATGCATTACATGTACAGTTGTTCTTTTTTCTGTAGAAAGAGGCTTCAAAGAGTGGGAACTTAAAAGTGACTTTTATGGCCGAGGAAAAAATAAAGAAGCTTAAGAAGAGGAATTCAGAACTTGTGTCCATTGCCCGCCAGCTTGAAGATAAGGCAAAGAAACTACAGGAAGAAAAAGTAACTGCACAGGTGTGTTGCTCACTCTTTAAATATTGCTTAAAATCTTAGTGGCAAAAGTCATGAAATGTAAGATTGATGTGAGTAAATTTGTTTTCTTTGAAGAGGCGACTTTTTTATCAGAGTTTTGAAAGGCAACGTTTTTGTCATTTCATTTCGTTGATAAAGCTTAGACCTGCAATAGATGCAAAAGCTGATGTAAGCTTGAGTGTATTTTATACACATACGCTTTTCTTCTCGACATAAAGATTTATTAACATCACTTTTCCTGATGCTTTGCAAACTGTGCAAAGTTTCCTTCAGTTAGGTGACAAAGAAGCTGCTAAAGATTTTTTATAGGGTGGATTTATCATGGCTTTCAGAGGTGAAAGAAGTTTATCTTGCCAAGTTAAGAATAGAAGAACAGTAACAATGGCTTCCGTCTTTAAGCAACAGAGTGTGACTCGTTTCTCCATCACTGTTGTGGAAGAAAAGAAAGTTATGAAAAGAAAAACGAATAGAGGAGCAGAGGCGCTGCTGGTTATATTTACCTTTATGGCCTAAATTCCAGAAAAACTTCCTTTCCTCTTCAAAAAGCAATCATCTTGAAACAAAACTGAAAGTACGAGGTTATGCCATCACGGGGAAGTTGGTCTGTTTTTGCATGAGCATGGAATGTCCAAACAATTCCTTCTTTGGCTAGCAGCCACTTTATGCCACAGCCATCTGCTAGCCGAAAATTTTTATTAAGTCACCAGATGGCGCCTGTATCAAATAGTTAATTTTTGGACCCTGACCAATTTTGTTTTATTTGTGTCAGAAAATAGACATTATGTTAAAAGTTTTTGGACAGTTTACCAAATGCTTTGACTGGGATTTTGAAAGTGTTCTAACCGATAATGAATGTTCATCCCTTTAAAATGGATAACCGTCAGTGTCCATTTTGCCTATTACAGTCACACATATCAAAATTGTTTTTCAGACAAAGTAGCGTGGGCTCTTACTTCGGGTAGCTAAGGTAATACTTAATGGCAGCCTCTCCTTACCTTCTTTGTTATTTTTATTTATCTAGAAATTAGCTGAAGAAAACAATTCAAATAATACTGCTGGAGTGGAGCATGTGAAGAAGATGTATGCCAGACAGAGAGCAAAGGATCTTGCCGAGCATGCAAAGTCACTCATGTCCAAGGAAAAGGAACTGGAAGACTTGAAAAAGCAACTAAAATCGCAACAGAATGACCAAGTCTTGCCGGTTAGTTTCACAAAAGATGTTGAAAAGAAATCTATTTGCAGTGGAATCACAATTGTCTCAGACCCCAGGGTTTGGAAATCTCCCAAATGTCATTCATTTTATGCTGACTTTTGAACTTCTCAATATTTCAAATCAATGCTCTCTTTTTCCTGGGTAGGTTTGGAATATTAATTTTGATTCCATTGTACCTTGAGCATGATTTGTAAAGCCTGTGTAAAGCTCATGCAGTATAAAGGCTGGGGACAAATGTGATTGTTTTGAAATGTTTAGGGTGAAAATCTACATGTTACATCTGCACTGATGACCTTTCATGATCGATTATAAATCTAATTTATTTAATTCTACCAAACGTCCATTGTTCTGACAAGATGTAACTGGTACCTATTGTGCCATAATAAGTCCTATGTAACTGAATGTTTCTTACCTCTTTTTAGCCCAATGACCCGCTGAAATGTTGTTGAAAAATGCATTTGAAGCTAGTCAAGTGGTTTTGTGATCACTTTCTGATCAAAAAGAAGCAAACATATACATTTACCCAGGACCGTGTTGCCATACAAGCTGCGCCTAATAGACTGACTTTTGTTTGTGATGTTAAATTAGAGGTTTTAAAGTAACCTTCAGGCATGTTCAGATGGCAAATTTCATTTCATTTCCCTTGATTTGTTCTTTTTGCCTTCTGTCTTCTTTTGTTTCCCTCTTTTATTATGGGAACTTACTAGACTTTATTTGATAGGGAAATGTTTTGCAAAAACGCATTGGATAGTAAATGTTTTTGAAAGAGGTACAAGTGGAGAGTGGAACAAGATATTTGTTGGAATGTTCTGGTTAAATGTAAATGATATTTTGTGCTTTTCTTTAGCCTATTGAATTAACTGCGTTTGTTTGGGTATGGTTTGAAAGAACTCTTCCCTTGCGCAAGCTAGGTGTCAAAAGTGTCGGTGACTTTTAAAATTGATGACGTCACAAGTGGTCCAAGGGATGTTGTTACACACGGGGTATTGCAAGTAGCTGAGATGTGACTTCATCTTGGAATCTTCACCTCTCACTTCATAAGCAAAACAATGACTTTTTATAAGGACATTCATTATAATTATTGGAATCTCCTTTGAATATTGTTAGATTTTGATATTTTGTCATTTTGAAACGATGTTTTCCCTTTTCATCTGGTGGTTAATATTGATTGCTGTTGAAAATATCATTCAGTTTCCTTAAGAGACCAGTATTGTTCAGTGTGGTAGCATCAGTCCAATATTGTATCCTGTGGTATTTTGAACATGTTACAAAATACAACTGGTAGCAGGAAAAATAACATCTGGAATTTCGCTTCATGCATGGAAGATCAAAGTGTGACAATGGTGAATTTGCTAGTTGATATTACTACTTTCTAAAGATAATCATTTCATGGCCAATAGGCATATTAGGTTATTTTTACACACAAACCAATTATCATGCAACTTGCCGGCCCATTGTGATCTAGTTATTATAGTTCAAAACAAGGGGAAGACATGTTAAAACATCGTAGGAGAGCTCGACAAAACAACCATGTTTTGTCTAAATCCAAGAGTGAGGTATAAATTGTTTTCTTCTTTAATCCCTTGATGATAAGTGAAGTAATCACAGTAATTTATTTTTCAAAAGGGAATTGACTTAATTTTCTTTGTCACAAAATGCAAATTGCTTTAAATGTATCTTATTTTTAAAATCAAATAAAAGGTTCATGTTAAGTGTATTTCGAGCATTCATTAAGCAGATTTGTTACCTCTAATTACACTGACGTTTCAGTCGTAAAAACTTAGTAATTATAACTTAACAGACATTATTCATACATGTATGTTTTCTTTTAAACTGCCAATATTAATACTATTCATGTAAGTGCTTCAGCAAAAGGGAACCTTAGGACTGTGAAAAATTTGTAAATTTTGTCATGGTTGAAAACTGCCTGCCATGTTCATATTAAGCTTTTACTTATACCTCAGGTTTTAGTACATGTACTTTGTCAAAGAAAAAATTATTTCAGTGAGACCCTTATGTAAGGTGATATTGAGTTGGATTGTATTAAAGATAAACATTTCATCCAAAAGGTATCACTTAGGTTTGAATAAGTTTTCATTGATCTCTGTCACTTTCTGTGTCACCCGCCTGACAACATAATTTATATTAATTTTTTGTTTCACAGAGAAAGGATACAGAGAATATGTGGACTTTTGGTTTATTTTTTATCAGATACAGTGATGCTTTTTGCTTTTTTTGTTGTTGGAGCATTACAGAAAACTGAAGAAAGTTTCCAACTTAGGGAAAGAAAGTGATCTCTGTCCTGTGAAGATTAGAGTAATCTCTTTGTTGCCTATTTACTTTGTGAAGTAATTTACTTGTCTTGAATTAATGCCTACCCTCATTATTTAAGATTCCCTCCTTTCAAATGATTCTTGCAGCGTTTATCCCAGAACTTTTTACCACTAATCTACACTTCTGGCCTCAGTTGTTTATCAGGCTGATGGCATTAGCCACACTGTTAGACTTGGGATAGCAGCTTTCAACCTTTTGGATAACTGGGACCAGATCTGTATAAATTAATCTACCCACTACGATCACAGGAAACTTGTAATGTAGGAAACAAACTACCGGTAAAATGCTGCTTGGTTTCACAATTATTCATATTTTACATCCTTTTTTAATCTTATGTTTGTAGAAAGAAAAAGTTGAAGAGCTTCAGACAATCATTAGACAGTCAGCTAAAGAGAGACTTTGGTTGGAGAGACAAGTTTCAAACAGCGATTTGTCTCGCTCACCCAGTCCGTTTATCTCATCTGGGGATTTTGCAGTGGAGATGCGAATAAAGACAGAAAGACTTGACACTGTAGAAGCTGAGAACATAAAATTGAAATTGTCATTGGAAAACCTACAAAAATCAGAGAAAGAGAGCAAAAAATTGGTAAGGATGAGTTAACTGGTTAATTACGTGGCAACTACATGTAATGGTAAAGCACCTGTGTCTATTTGTGTGAAACCACTGTCTATTGCATCTTGATTAATTTTTACTTAGCTTCTCGGCAGGTTTGTCCTAAACTTCAGCATGCTTTGGATAGCTAGCTCTAACTTGTACTTGTAATTTGGAATCTGATTTACTGAAGTTATTCTGTTTAAGAGCTAGGAAGTCGTTATAGAGATCTCTTCTTGCATTACTGGTGTTTACTCATTGGAGAGAAATACATTTCCTGAAGTTGTTTGGTAGCCTTTTTGTCACAGGACATTACTCATTTGTAGATCTAAGCTGTGATCTTTGCAAGTAATAATAATAATCACAACATTCATTCTCTTATGAAACACTCTCTGTCTTTAATCACTATCATCAATGTTGCACGTAGGTGACCATTGCTAGATTCTGTGTATGTACAATACCTAGTATGTTATTTAAACACTCACCCCCGTAATGAGTTTGCTGGTGGTGCCTTTTTTCATTAAATATTCATGACTTAGACAACCTGTTCATGGTCAAATTGTGCATGTTTTAAAATGCTAGTTTAATTTAAGCGAAAAATAATGAAGGATGCAATCTTTGCAGGCAGATGATCTGAAAGAAAAAGAAAAGGAGAATGAGAAGCTCTTACATGACTTGGAAGAAAAACAAACTAAGTGTTCTAAACTGGTAACTAAATTGCTTTCATGTTTTTTTCTTTAATTAGCTGCTTTCTCCCTTTTAGGGGAGATTCATTGTTATTGTTATTTTTGGCTGCTCCATTGTCAAGTATGAAGAATTCTTGTGAATGATGCAGTATTGATCTGAAATGACTGAGAGGCATTTGCCTTAAGGGAATTACTTCATGTAACTACATGTTAATGTTGAAATTCATTTTAAACTGTTGTATTTTGATTCCGCCATTTAATCTCAAAATTTCTTGTAACAAAGCAGATAACAAAATACAGGCAAAGTATCACATGTGTAGTCAAGGTGAACTTGCTATGTCTTGCTGGAATGTTTTTCATTTCATGAGTTCTTGTTCAAACTCAGCAAGCGGCAACCAAACAGTGTGATTATAAGATCCAACTATAGAATCAAGGAGGGAAGAGGCTTGATCCACAGCACTTTTATTCTTGTGTGTTTATCCCTTTGTGTGTTAAAAATATATAGCACCATTGGTAACTGTTGATTTTAGTGGTGTAACGATTAATCGAATTCTCGATTTAAGTCACGATTATGACCGTTTGTTTCGATTCACGATTCTTTACTTCCACATTTTGATTTTGGTTCGATTATTGCACACCTTTTTCAGGGTGCCCTTAGTGAGTTATTAGATTGTAAAATCGGAACCCAGAATGCTTTAAATTGTGCGTTTATGATTGACGAGCAAAGACGATAGCATTTCGTGCACCACTTTGTGTTGCCTGGTAAAAATGCTGTTCTTCAACCACCCCTTGAGAATTTCCAAATAAGGCAAACTATGTGCAACAGGCTCTTTGTCAGGTTCTCAAACATGGCAACGAACCAAGCGACTGTGAATCCTCCTGTCCCTGCTACTATTCTCAAATTGAGGGTTTAGGGTTGCATGTTGTTTACATTGTGCGTCATAGTATAAGAATTAAGAATCATTACATAATCGAATCGAAATAATCGAAATCGAGAGGCAAAAATAGAAATCGAATCGAACCGCAAGGAGTATGAATCGTTACACCCCTAGTTGATTTAAAGTGTTCTGTTTTGATGTAGTGGTTTTAAAATAATCATCAAGTAGTTACATGTACCTGTTATCAGTTTAATTTTCATCTGAGTCTAGTTTTTAATTTGACCAGGGGAGTAAGTGTAAGTGACTTCAAAATATAGCTCTTGAATCTCTTTTAAAGTTACGTCTTCTTGACTGGCCCTTTGATCAAGAAATTTCTTGCTATGTGAGAGGAATTCTAATGAGACGTGTGTGCCATATAATTGATGTGAATGGGATTCTATAGAGGTGGGGTCAGTTAGATCAAGAAGTATTTATATGCAGAAGCTCTTAGTCACGGAGCTTTGGCTGTATGTATTATTAATTTGATAGCAGTGAGCTGTCATTTGACAATGTCTTCCATAACATTGGTCAGAGTTAAACTTTAAAAGAGAAAGGCCAGGTCATCTAGACTTCAAAAGTGAAGGTGATGTTTAATGGAACAAAAGCAATCATGAATGATGCAGTCAGAATCACTACTTTTTTTGCTTTCTTATCCATTCCACTGTCTCTCTTTGCATATATTTTTAACCAGGAACTTGAAAGGGAGAGGTTTGCAGCTAAGTGCACTATGCTCCAGAAAAAGAACACAGAGATGTCAAAGAAAATTTCAGAACTGGAAGAGGTAATTAGTTTAAATTTACAGGGGCAAGCTCACGCACAGTACAACTGTATTTTTTATTCTTACAAGTGACAGTGCAAAATGAAATTTGGGTGACCGCAAGCACTTGCGGGTGTGGGTACTAGTAAAAATCACCCTTTTCTATAATTACAGCAATGCAACATCAAAGTGACTGGCAGAATGTCTAGTTTTGGTGACAAGGCTGATTAAATTAAATTCTCTTCTTTTAGGTGGAAGAGGAAGTTGCCAATGTGAGAGAGAAACTGGAAGTGTCTGACATGAAAAACAGTCTTCTTTCAGAAGAATGCAACAAGATGAAAAGCCAGTTAGAAGGGCTTTTACATGTCAAGGAGGTGGGTATTTATGTTGGTATTGCAGTAATAAGCAAACTCTATATTCTCTATATAAAATTATTATTGTACCTTGTTATGAAAGATTAGGAATGGAGAGACAGAATAGAGAAACAGTTGGAATGAATAATCAGTAATAATCTGAAGAATATTATGCAGATCTGGGAGGGAGCTGTAACATTTAACAAAACATTGTCTGTTCCTTGGCACTTTCAGAAATTGAAGGGATGTTTATTCAGCCATCTGTTTGTTGCTCCACGTCTACACAAGCATCATTCTCGATGACAAAACTTCCCTTTGATATTTTAAGAATTAAATGGATTTGCATCTCTGAGCTTGCCCTGTTGTTCTCTTTCTAGGATCTGAAGAAGATGGAGGAGAAGAAAAAAGTTATAGAAAAGGAGCACATGACAAGCATGGAAAAACTCAAAGAACGAGAAGAGGAAATAAGGCAGCTTCATAAGGTGAAATAACATTAAAATAATCAAGGCTTAAAAAAAGTCCTGTTTGTTCATCAGCGACAAGTAGATTTTTTTTGTGGGCAAGTAACATTTTATGCTGACTTGCTTGATGGGCAAGGTCCAGGGAAGTAATCTTTTAGCTAAATCATAAACCTATAGACAAGGATAAAATGGCCCTCAGCACAAATGTAAGTTTTTTTGCAAGTCCTGATACCTCATAACGCTCTGATTACACACTCTACACTGCAGTCTCAGTTGACTTTAAATTGACTCTTGATATTGGCCAAATTTGACATTGGCGACAAATTCAAATTCTGTTTTGTTTTTTTCTCTTAAGTCAAGTTTCCTTCAAAGATATTATTTTGAGTTGCGTACGCCTGTTTTCTGTGCTTAGCACTGCATGTGCTGGCCACTTCTACTTCCAAAACCCATCATTGCTTCTCGGAACTTCAGCATCTCCTGCATCTTGCCTAAGTTCTTGTACCAAATCACTGAGAACAAAAGTTCACTTCAGGTTATCATTTTACCAACATTTCCACTTGCTCTTACTCAGATCCAGGAAGAAGCCAATAGGGCTCATGAGATGGCTGTGACTTCTCTGGAGGACACTGTGCGCAGTCTGGAGCAGAAGTGCATTGATGCTGAGGAGAATAATATCAACCTTAAGAAAGAGGTAGAGGAGCTAAGAGAGTTGGAAAAAGCACATATCAGGAAAAACCAAGAAAGAGGCCATAAATCTACTCAAACAGCAATCAGAGGAAATGAAATTGTGATTGGAAATGATGGTAAGGATTAACAGCAAAAAATTCATTTCTAGACACTACCCTGTAAGCCCATACAGTGTTAGATTACTTATGATAATATTTATGCATTTTCCCTTTCTCTTCTCCATCTACTGTACATGCTTATGGTGCTATTGACAAGATTTTTTTGTAGTATCAACTGAAACATCATTCTCTTTGGTGATAATTTGCCAATGAGGAAGGTTGAAGGTTGAGTTCCCCTCCCTCTTCTGTTTGGTGCTTTAAGGCCATTTTGCTTAGGCACAGTAATGCACATGTACATCTATAGTGTCTATTAAGATTAAAAAGTTAAATATTATTTTTTGATAGCCATTGATATCTTAATTTATAACAATCCATAGGTAAGCCCATTCATGATCATCCTTTGCATGAAGAAAAACCTCAGACACCTCAGTCATCATCTCACAAACGTTTAAATCAAGAATCAGGAGGGCTATCATCCCACATTGCTCCCACTAAGTCATCCACCTATGAATCAAAAGTTGAAATGTCACACACATCTCCTATGAAACAACCCCTAAGTGCTTCCGAGGCAAGCCAGAAGCCTGAGACTGGGGCTGCACCAGGAACAGAAGATCTGTTGGATGTATTAGCTTCTAGAATTGACCAGCTGGCAGCTTCTGATAGTGAGGATGACATCTTTAGTGGTATGTACAAATTGACTGTGTTATGACAATTTTTAATGGTATAAATTGTACAATCTAAGAGAAAGTTAAAAACTAAGAAAAACGTTGTTTTGGCTTTCCAAAGGGTCAATTGTTAGAAAAAATAGCCACTGAAATTCAGGGTTCTCTACTGGGGTTTTGTTCATGTTTTCGGGATTATTCTAACAAATGTTAATGAAAACTGCACCCACTTACTGTAGTAGATAAAGCTTAAACCATACAGTAACTTACGGTGGCCCAGAAGGGTCACACATGCAAATTAAAAATGTTGCTGCAAATTAAAAATAGTACATGCAAATTAAAAATTGTACATCCAAACTAAAAATATTACCTGCAAATTAAATATAGTACTCATCCTGTTGAAAATAGAAAACATATCTGCAAATTAAAATGAAAAAAATTCTCTATAAGTGATGAGGACCTGGTCCAAGCTGTGCGACCTGGCCTTATAGCCGTCAGCCCATTCATGTTTCATGTTTGTAATATTTTTAGTTTGGCTGTACAATTTTTAATTTGCATGCACTATTTTTAATTTGCAGCAACATTTTTAATTTGCAGGTAAAATTTTTAGTTTGCAGCAACATTTCTAATTTGCATGTGTGACCCTTCTGGGCCACCGTAGTAACTCGTCCCTGTGTGGCTACTATCACAGCTGTTACATGAAATATAAAAATTATGACTTGCACTTGCATCCTACAGCTGTGCATAGGAAAGGTTTCGTTTGGTAACTGTTCCTCACATCTTACAACATAAACACTAACTATTGAAAATGCCACAGCTTGGCAGCATTACGGTGAAACACAGGTGACGAAATTGGTGACTTCCGCTACAATCATAGTAGCCAAATTTGTGTTTTACTTACCATGACGACCAAAACGGTGGCAGTTTGGAGGGCTATACATTTAAATAGAATAATATTTTCCATTATAGGATTTGGAATTTGAAAGTTTTACCTATATATACCTATATATCTTTGACCTTATTTCTTAGAAAAAGCATATGAAGAACAACAGAAGGAATCTGATGAGGATAAAAACGAGCCTACAAGGCCAGATCTAGATCTTGAAGACTTGTCCAAGCGCATCAGTCAAGTGGCAGTCAGTGATGACACAAGTTCATTAAGTACTCGAGAGAGAGCTTGCAGTGATGGTAGTCAAGACTTAACAAGTATGGCTGAAGGAGAAATGGGTGATCTAGAAGATAATCAACCTGATAGCTCAGCTCCTGAAGATGAACAGACAGACCTTTCAGCACAGCAGCAGCCGATTGGTGAGCGCTGTTTTTGTGGTTTTGGCCCAATTACAACTAAATCTCCGAATTCCATTAGTTTTGACAAGTTTTATTTTGTTTAACAGGGCTGTAGGACTACTTTTTAGATAGGACTTTAACTTAAGTCAGACAAAGGAGGAAGGATATCAGGCATACAAAATATTGAATTTTGGCCCCATTTGTTCAAAAGTTGGATAGTGCTATCCATCGGATAAATCTCCCTCTGGTGAATACGTATTTGGGAAACCAATTGCATTATCCACTGCATAGAGATTTAACTAATAGATAGCGCTGTCCACCTTTTTAACCACTGAGGCCAGATTTCTTTATGTGGTTATGCTGATCTTCTGGCTTAAAATGAAAGTCATTCTGCAGTCAGGATTTGGTTGGACATTGTGTATATTTTAGTTTGACATTGTCGGATGACCAACTGTTATTTGAAGGGCTCTCTGTGTAATGTCTAACAGGTCAGGTCTTGCCCTTTCTGGTATTATGGATAGTGTAATCACCAAATGATTTACAGTGTATAAACAAAAAGATAGAAAGATACCCAACAATACCCACAAAATAACCTTAAAAGTAGCCAACAATAGTTTATGCAGCACCAAGACCTACTTTCTCCATTGTGGGTAAGTTGTTGTAGGTTGCACTGCTCGTTACATTTCGCTCGTCCATGGCATTTGCTTACTTGTCTTAACTAATGTTTTAGCTACCAGATGACTTGCTTGGATTCTTGCAAATTAGACAAGTGAGGTTAAACAGTTAGTTGCCCAACAAGGAAAATTATCTGCTTGCCCCAGACAACTGGACGGAAATTTTTTTGAGCCCTGGATTGCATTTAGTGACCATTTTGCTTTTTATAATTTATTTACACTAGGTGTACTGAACGTTCATCATCATGTTGAGTCTACAAGCTCTGACAAGCAGGTGCCAGCAGATTTAAACTATGAATCCAACTCAGAGGACCAGGCAGTGGACAGCAGATATCTAGAGGGAGATTTTAGTGATGTGGATCCCGCTATTCTTGAGAAGCTAGCAGTGTATATAGCAAGATATAGTTATGATCCTTTGCAGCACTCACCTAATGATAATCCTGAGATGGAGCTGGCATTCCAAGCTGGAGATTATCTGTATGTGTTTGGGGAGATGGATGAGGTAAGAAGAGGCCCTGGTAGGGTAAAATTCCTGCAAGGGACATGGCCTTGAAACAGCAACATAAAACTAGACTAGTAATCACCAAAGGTTAGGGAGTGCAGGGGACAATGATTGAAGGTTCAAATGCTCTAATGCTGTGCTTTGCGTAAGTTTCACGTGACAGATCAAAACGTGTGAACAGATTATGAGTGATAGAAGGTCCAAATGTGCGAGATCAAATTGCGTTTTGTGCGTTCCATTCATTCTTAGTGGAAGTCCAAACGAATACTGGCTACGTACATGCAGCACATGCGTAATAACAACCTGTAGATTAGGATTGCAGGCTCCTCTTGTCGCCCGCAATGAAATGGCGACAAACGACAAAGAGATGGGTTGAATACCAACAGGGACATGGCCTGCTCCTCAAAATGCGAAACGACGGTATTTAAAATTTAGACTAGGGACATATGTACCCCGCCCTAATAGTGCCTCTAAGAGGAGTCTGTACCATCCCTTTTTTCCTGAATACTGTTTGGTGGATGTCAAAAAAAACAAAAAAATAGAAAGCCAACTACAACAACAAGTGTGAGCGAGCAGGATGTTAAGTGTGGTTTTCAATATTTAGTCTAATAAAACTAGAAAAAAGGGTTATTTTGGCTAAGACGCTCAAGCTATTATATGAACCAATCAGATCTCAAATCATCAACATATAGTTGACACCAAGCTCTATAAGATGTTTCGCTGAAAATCACACTCGGTTTTCTTTGATTGTTTTAAAAGTTGGCCAATCACAAGCTATAGCTACACAAAGCCAATGTACATGTAACACTTAGTACCAATACCCAACTGAAAACTGCGGTAATATCTTATTTAATTCTTTGTGGGACATTCCAGGATGGCTACTTTCTTGGAGAACTGATGAGTGGGCAAAGGGGATTGGTTCCTTCCAACTTTGTTGAAAAAGTCGCAGATGAAAGCGAGATGAACAGGATGATGAATGGTACAGGAGAGGGAATTGGTAGGAGAAATGTCTGTTATGGCTGTGATTAATTTTTATTTTCACATGAAGTTGAACAATGTTACGCCCTTTGAAAAGCGGCTCTGCCTGAATCACATCAAACTATTAAGGTTGCGGCAGCCCAAACTTCAGGACCGGTCAATCTTGTTCTCACTTTCGAGTGCAAGCTCTCATTTATTGGTCCTAACTGAGCCCGCTGTACCAAGCATGTGGTTATTAGGCCTGAGTTGGAAGCTGTATCCTAGCAACATGCTGTGCATGCTCAAGAAAGACCTTACTGGATTCATGCAGAGTCTTTCCCAAGTACGCCAAAATAGAGCAAGCAAAAGAACGGCTCTCCTGGCAGGGTGCACATGTTGCAGCTTCAGAAGTTTTTTTCTTATATGGGTTTTACTAATTTTATTGCACAAAATGTGCCAGTGATGGATCCAGGGGAGGGGCCTGGGGGACCTGCCCCCCCCATTTTTAGACCAGACTGAGGCCCAAAGGGCCAAAAAATTTTTTTTGAATCCCCCCTTATGTCAGGGTCTGGATGACCCCCCCCCCCCTTATCTGAAGGTCTAGATCCGCCACTGTGTGGACATTTCATATCCTTTGAAACTGACATGTGAATCCATAATTTTTACTTTTAGATGAAATTGTGAACAGTGATGAGGAGGATACTGATGGTAATTATTATCTTTCGAGTTTTAGCAAAACGTCCAATCAAATAAAATGCTTGACGTTTGATTTTTTTTACTTTGTGCTAAAGCTTAAGGGTTGCTGTTAACGGTTAAATCAGTAATATAAAAAGTAGTGAATGTAATGTTGAGAAATCATATCATGGGATTGCAATTTATTTTAAGTACAAAGATTATCATAAAGCTGAACGTTCTTTGTAAATCAAGACTAGATGTTGTAGATTAAATTTTTAAGGAATATCTTAAACTTAAGTGAAAGACTCCTGGATTATAGGCGATACCTTAAAAGTTATATAAAATGGTAATCAGTGGTCTAGAGTATGGGTTTGTATATCCCTTCTGAAAGCTAACTTGCTTTGTCCTGTGTTTCTTGTACTTTTTAAAGTTCTTTTACTCACAGACAGTACGACAGTCGTTATAAGACATTTTGATTATTTTAGTGTTATTTTAAAGCTGACTTAAATTTGTCTTCTTGTAACACTTGAACATCATTTAGAAGATAGCGCCTCTGAAGATGGCGAAACAAGCACAGAACTTGTGCTACCTGAAGAAAACGGTGAACGTCACATGAAGCCTGTCAGAATGCTTAGATTTTCCGGTATTTACTCTGTTAGTTTAACCCTTTTCCAACCTTTTTTGATTGCTTGCTCCTTACTTCTTGACAAGGGCATCGCTGACTTCGCCACAAGTTTAACTTCACTTATTTTGAGAATAAACGGGAATTATAGTGATAACCTGTGTACAGTCGCCCCTTCCACACGCTAAATTACCTAGTTACAGCTGCTGAAAAGTGTCTTGATTGTAAATCCAAATTCGTCAAGATAAGTTTTGGAAGATATTCTGCAAATAATCATTCACTAAAATGTGTTAAAATAAATTTTCTCATGATAAAGCATGAAAGTTATTAATTGTAAAATATAAAACTTTTGAAAGTTGATGATGACAAAACTTAAAATTGCAGTTAGACTTTTTACTGTCCGTGTGAGTTGTCTTTACGCTTGGAAAAATAATTTACTAAAATTAGAAACCTTAAAATATCATAAAAACCATGAGTTGTGGTAACATTGTCAACTTAACTACTAAATCTAGTCATTTCTTGTGGAATCCTTTTGTGTAACTGTGGCGTACCCTTCCTTATGTCACGCTAGGTAAACTTCACCGTGCGTTACGCTTGTCAGTGGAGCACATACCTGATGTCGGATTGAACGACATCAAAGAAGAAGATGAGGAAGAGATCGAGGAGGAAATCGAATCGGAGGATGAATTTGACGAAGAAGATGCTCCAGAAGTATTGAACTTGAGTCAAGATGGCGTTGCAAGTGAGGACACCGACTTTGAACCTTTCAGTAAGTCAAGCAATTGCTTAATTGTTTCTATTTCAACAAGTGCATGTACTGCAACTGTGAAAATGTTTAGTGAATCGTAATCGTGGGAGAAAAGTAATGGTAAAAAATACCAATAAAAACAGCTCTTTGGCGATTTGATTGACGACGTCTGAAAATCGAGGAATTTATTTCACTACCCAGATCTGGGTTGATTCTGATTGGTTGAATCAAATTTCCCACGCGGCACGATCATAGCACTAATCCTGTGATTCAATGAACTTCTCAATATTTTTTGAAATCCAGTTAAACGTCGCCAGATGTTGCTACTTTTCGGCCTTTAGTACGAGGCTAAGTGCAGGTACGACTTGCGAAAGCCAATCCAGTTAAGATCCCAGAACTATCGTTCTTTCCCGTTGCGGACCAGGCCCCCAGTTGTTCAACATGTGGTTAGCGCTATCCACTGGGTAAATCTCTATCCATGGAATAGCGTAATTGGTTTCCCTTGTACTTATCCAATGGATAGTGATTTATCCGTGGATAGCGCTATCCAGCTTTTGAACGACGAGGGCCAGGACATAAAAAGACGTGAAGGACAAAAATTTGTGTGACAAGTGATCAGCCAGATCACACGATCTTGGCTTGACCACTCATGATATTTCCCAAGAATGGAGAGGCAAAAATTATTTTTGACGCCGTATATTTGTGCCTCAGGAGTTCCATCCCCACGACGGCTCTACCTTGAGCGCCAGTTTACACGAAGCGTGCTGTTGAGTTGGAAGCCCGCTGACCTGCCAGCTAATCTTGTCAAAGGCTACGGTGTGTTCGTAAATGGAGACCTTCGGCTCATGATCAATGGAGGGGGCAAAACCAAGGCTCTATTAGAAGATATTGACCCTGAAGAGGTGCGGCTGATACTATCCTGTAAATTGACTTTAAGTCAACAGTAGGTTGTAATGATCGTGTGTATGAGGGTAGTCCTAAATGGGCCTGCTGGAGACAATAGGGATTTTAAACTCGAGGACGAGGGCGACTGTGGGGGCTATATTTAACTTGACGTTTTTTGGCGTATTCTCAAAAAATCGACCCCCCCGGAAAGCTTCATTGTATTTTTTATCACCAGAAAAGTTAACAGGATTATTTTAATTGAAGAAGAGGGCTATGCTCTTGCAGAGCCCGGGGGCCCCGACGCCTAACTTTTGCTTTCAAGCGGCTAGAAAATCTTAGTGTTTTTATACATATCATAAGCTGGGCACTCTAAATTGTACAGGCTCAGAGCACCGGGCTCCCTTCATTTTTCCTTAGTACACAGCCTTGAAGAAGGTTAAACCCTCTCCCGAGCGCCAAACGTTTGATAACTAGATTCTGTCTCTACGACATTCTGTTCTCGCTTAAACCCGTAGTAAAATGACGACGGCTATCACCTTTTCCCGCCAAAATGACGCTTGTTCACGTGTATGCACTACTTAGTATTGAGAAAATGTAGTCCGCGTAGTCGCCTTCGTCTTGGAATCTAAAGGTCGCTAATGACTGACTTTTCAAGACGTTTCAACAACATGTGCGTAAGTCAAAGCATTTACCTTCATATTACTAACAGCGTTACTACATGTAACATTGTGTTTCAGCCTTACAGGATATCCGTTAGAACCATAACCTTCAAAGGAAACGAGTCATCTGATCGGTCAGCTGTGGTCACCATTGGCAAAGGTTAGTTAGTTTATGACTTGGATATGAATGACTAGGTGGTGATTTGTTTAGTTGATTGTCTTTTCCATCCTTTAATCAACCATAGTCTAGATCCACTTTTCGTTCGTTTTAAATACAAAGCTGTTCCTTTCTTTCTACAGATGCTAATCTTGCACCAAGTCACGTGCACGTCACATGTGTATCCCCTACGTCAGCCAAGATCGAGTGGTCCCCAGGTAACAGCTCTTTCAGTCACGAGGTTCTTGTCAATGGGGAGCTTTACAAGACAGTGCGCCCAGGAACGTTCCAGCACACAATCACTAACCTTGAGCCAGACCATATGTATAAGGTGCATGTTCGCGCGAAGAACCCCAAGCGGGTGGTGGAACACGACAATGAAGTGGACATTGAAGTGGATCTTTTGACAGCAGAAGCTGAATTCAGGACGGAACCCGGTGGTAAGTAGCTAATTCGCCACTTCACAAACGATAGTGAAACTGGTCCCAGGTAACTATCCAGATTCAAATCCACTAAACTGATTTCCATACATTTACTTAACGAATTGGCTGAGACAATTTGACAATTTTTTTTGGTGATCATTTTAATAGTTTCCATTGCCTTTCCTCTGGATTCTGTATTGACACTGTTAGGAGAATATTGACACTGGTCACTCAAGGGACTTACAGGGTTAACTTTCGTAAAGATTTCTGGGACTGTTACTAGGGACAGGGGAAAAAAATTGGCCAATAGCTGACCTGCGCGTCCCCAGTAACAATCCCGGAAACAATTGCGGCACATATTTTCGCCCCAGTTCCCTTCCTTTTTCGAAAGTTGAGAATTAGATTTAAAGTAATGCAAAATTAGTATGTGTAATCAAATGGTAAGGGGTGAAATTAGGGAATAATTTCACGCAAGTGAAATTATTCCCTAATTTCACGAGTATACCATTTGATTACCTATTGATATCGTGGGTGACGAATTACGTTAGCAATCTTAGATTTTTGACATGTTTATCCTGGATCGTATCGATCGAGAACTCCACTCTCTCAAATGTTTAGACCTTAAATTTGGCTTATAGAGTTCAGAATTTTTCAGACTTTTTCGGCAAAATACCTGGTAGAGTCCTTCTTGATGTTCTCTTGTGTGTTCAGGTTTTCTTAAGTGTCTTTTTGTGCCCTGACATCTTCATTCACGGCATTCGTCGCCATCTTGACACTGAGACGTACGGAAGGTTGCCATGGCAATTTTATAATTTCGCATGTGAAATTAAAAATTAACGCTGAAATTTCGCGCCATAATTAATGAGTAATTCGTCACCTATGATATTAGCCGTGAAACATATCTGACTGTTAGAACGTTGCGTATTCAACTCTCCCTTGCCATAGTGGGTTTATTTATGAGTTTATGTAAATATTTTAACTCGCAGAGTCTATTATTAGGGAGACATGTAACCCAAAGGGTGTTTTTACCAGGGTATTGGAAATTTCCTATTGATTCGGTTCCTTTGTTAAATCTGTATGTTGGAGTTTTCCCAGCGTCCTCAAAACAGTTCCATAATGCAACATCAACGTAATATTGAACATCAGTGAAATCTTTAATACTATGGCCGTGGATTGTGTTGTCTTGAGTCGTTTTGTTTTTATCTTAGGTCTTCCAGATCCTCCTTTAGAAGTAGAAGTCGCTGTAGGCCATGCCAACTCCCTGGATGTTAACTGGATTCCTGTGACTATTACAGAGAGGGGTACTTCAAACGGTGCTCGCGTGACAGGATACAAAGTATACATCAACGGCTTTCCTTGCACTGAGGTCACGTCACCCACAGCGGACAGCGTGACAGCCGTGTCATGGATGGTGGAACGTGCGTTTAAAAGAAGTCACAGCGAGGTTCTTTGTGTTGTTGTAAGAACTCAGTCTTGCGAAGGAGAATCTGTGGATTCAAACGAAGTTGAGCTTCCTGCGGAAATGTTTAACTTCAAGGTGAATAATTTGGTAAAACCTAAAGGCGCAGGTCCGCTTCCTAAAAGAACAGAATTGACGCCGCAAAGCTCTGTTGAAGAAGAAAACAGTCCTGACATACAAGATAAAGATTCGGCCCATGATAGTAGGAATGCTGAGGAATCAAGGGAGAGAGCTGATAGTGTAAGGCGTTACAGCCGAGGTGAAAACGGACAGCCACATTTAGTGATAAAGGATGACACTAATAGAGTGAGAAACGTTGTGCAGGGTGATACTACGATGGCTCAGCCACGGACAAAAGGTGAGCCTGTTATATGGAAAGACGATAATGCGGATGAGTCGGAAGCTGCCGACAGTGTTACGAAGAGCGACGAAAGAGTATCCGATGACGAAGATGAAGAAATCGAAATTTGCATTCCGGACGCTTCGGATGATCTTGCGCACTCTACACAGAAGGAACCTGACATGAACGCTGAACAACAAGGTTATCAACTACTTGAGGAACAGAAAAATGAGGATGAGGAGTTGGAAGAGAGCAAAGAAGAGGAAGAAGTAATGGAGGCAAGCTCTCTTGTGTTGTTGTTGATGTTGTTGTTGTTGTGTTTTGCTCCTCTAGCCTGTATTCCAGGAGTAAGTCCCTCCGACTCTAGCGTCATTTTCGGTTACCGTATAAGGTTTAGAGAGGGCATGAAATTTCGAATTACTCTGTGGTCAAACAGTTTGCTAGGTTATGGACAAAGAGAAATAAAATTCCAAGTGCACGTGCCCGGATAGACATTTAACGTTTGGCTGAAGTTTCTAATCATTGAAATTAAGTAGTGAAACTTACAGTCAACTCTTTTTGGATAGTTTGACAGATTAAACGCCGCGATATTTAGCTCATTTCTTTTTTTGTCTTTTTTTGTCGTTGTTTTTCTTTAGGCTTAAGCAATAATGCGGTACTTGTAAAATGTCCGTGCTAATTATCTTTCTAACCATAAGCCGAATATGTTATAAGAACAGGTTCATAGTTTTATTGACGTGTTTATACACCTAAGTGACCTTCTAACGTGCGAGTTACCGAACTTGCTTTTCATACAGTCGTTCAATCTGTTTTTTTTTTAGGACAACGAAGAAGTCGAGAATGAAGAAACTGAGATTCCCGAGGATGACCAACACTTCGGCGATGAAGACGTTTTACCTATCGAGGAAGAAACACCAGACATTCCAGACGAAACCCTGCTTATGCCCAGGAAAGAGAACAGCGTGTCCGTGGTCAGCGGTACTGACATGGATGAGTTTGAGGAGACGTTAGATGAAGCTCAAAGTATACGAGGAAGAAGTCCTGAGGGCTTACATAGCCATGATAAGAGACCCTATATACGACCACTGGAATACGAGGAAAGCGATTATGAGAGTGAGTCAAGCGAAGAAAAGCCTCTGTCTGTCATACAAGAAGAAGACGAGGAAGATTTGTCCGAGTCAGTTGTTTTCCCGAGCAATTTCTCACGACAGCACTCCACTTCCGACGATTTTCAGAGCGACGATGACGTCATGGATTTGCTTGACGATGACCACGATCGGGATGAAACGGCAGTGCATGGTGTCGACTTCGGAACTGTTCGTAAGATCTCGCAGAATGAACGCAATGCGGTGCTATCACCCGAAGGTGAATCATCGGGTGATGCATGCTTTGGAAGATACTTAGCAAAGAGCGACGAAGAAGGCAACACACCTCTTAATTCTCATTACAGACTTCTTGATAGTATTGAACTTGAGGAATCTGAAAGCGGTGGAGTTGAAACCTCATTCAGTGAAACAGAAGCTGATCGTGGTGGAATGGATCGAAGTTCAACTCCGCTTGATTACCGCGACGAGGAGAATGTTTACTATAACGAAACAGGGCAGAATGAAGTTCCTTGTGATCCCACGGGTGATCCCTCGGGAAGGGACAAGGCTCCTCTTCCTGATCAGGATTTTGAGGGTGGTATAACCACTGAGGAGCAAGTTCGTGTGTTTTTAGCACTGTATGATTATGATCCCTCTACCATGTCCCCTAATCCTGATGCAGAAGAGGAGGAGTTAGCATTTAATGAAGGAGATCTTATTAAGGTAATAACTAAACGGACGGGTGCTCTTTACAATAACTTGTAAACGATACATTGTAATTGTAATTTATAATTTCCCAATTAGTATGACAATAAACCGCAAACGAATTAAAAAATTGACCCGTCACATGGAAGTGAGCAATAAAAGGAAAAAAAAGAAACGAAACAAAACAAAAAAGGTAGCTTATCTGGGATTCGAACCACGCATCATGTACTTCTGAGGCTCTAGCAATTTCCTGTGTAAGAATTAAATTCTATACCGGAAAAAAGAAACAAATGGACTGTTTTGAAAAAATGTGAGGAAAAAAAGAAAGGATAATCGTAGTCGGCAGGATTCGAACCTGCGCGGGGAGACCCCAATGGATTTCTAGTCCATCGCCTTAACCACTCGGCCACGACTACTCAGATGAGAGGGAAGGGTAAGTTTGGTGTACTGCCGCGTCCGTTATGAATTGCGCAACCAACATTATGAGTCTCATTGTACTTAAGGATCCTCGAAAGAACAGACGTAAGAAGAAGCTCATGAAAAGAAAATGAAGTCACAATATTTATGGACGAACCAAGCAACTTGTTCACTTGACGGCAATATGGCTTTACAGCCATAGACAGGTTCACGCTTATAGTTGCATCATGCTTAATCAGGGCAAGATGGCGGGAAATTCAAAGATTTGAATTGGAATTCAAAGCCAGCTAATTCCCCAATTCATATATTTGATGCTTTCTTTTTGAAGAGAGTAACTTACGAGTTCAAGGAAACAATTCACTAAATCTGCAGTGCAAAAAAGATCATTTTTTCGAAAACCTTGATTTCTCCCATACTTTTTCTGTAATTCGACAGTATCAAAATTACAGAAAATGTATGGAAAAGTTGAGGTTTTGTAAAAGCTGATCCTGGAGTATTATGCACTCCTGATTCAGCTTATTGTTTCTTTCAATTCATAAGTTACACATTTCAAAGGAACGTGGCAAATATATGAATTCCGGAAGAATTAGCTGGCGTTGAATTCCAATACAAATCTTTGAATTTCCCACTATCTTGCCCTGATTACCCATGATGTAATTATAAGCGTGAACCCGTCTATTAGGCACCAGAACGGCTTCTCGCAAAGAACTGTATATGTCGCTTTTTTTAGCTTGGTAGAGTAAAATACTCGACCAAATCAAAGACAGCTAACTTTGGTTAAATTATAAATATGCTTTTGCATTTAAAAGGAAATTTTTGAAACTGTTCTTGGGGTTCTGGTGGATGGTTAACGAAGAGCAAATAGTCGAAGGAAGGCTTTTTCAGGTTCGCGACCTACTGGGTCATGTTTGATAATCCTTCAATTGCCGTTGTCGTTCGCGATCAAATGTAAACAATTATTTGGTAAAAAGTAACTAGTTCAAACTAAGTCGTATTCTTTGGCTATTAGTCTCATACGTCATCGTTATATTTCATCAGGTTTACGGTGACAAGGATGAAGACGGTTTCTATTGGGGTGAATTAAACGATAGAGCAGGCTACATTCCATTCAACATGGTGTCAGAAGTGCAGCTTGAAGACGAGGCGACCGGAAGCAATGTTACCTCACCTTCTAGTTTAAATCTCACTCAAGAAGTGGTCCAGGTCCCTGAACAGAGCCCCATCCACGAGGCTGAAGCCGCTTCAGAGTCCACTGGAAACTTGCTTGATGAAGTTATTCTTGAAGAAGGCGAGTTTGACGATCCCCGAGAAAGCGAAAATTATCAGCTTCCACCTCGACGAATGGTGGCTCTGTTTGATTATGATCCACGAACTTTGTCGCCAAATCCCGACTGCGAGGTGAGGAATTAGTAGTGTCTTTTTTAAAACGAGGTCTACCTCGCTGCTTTTGGTTTGAACCAGGTGTTGAACAGTCTGCTACACGGTCGTTTTTAGTGCCGTCACGCAACGCTCCTCGGGGAGGAACGTTGCGTGACGACGATAAAAACGGCCGTGTAGCAGACTAGGTGTTGAATTGCGACGTACCTTAATACATTCTCAGTAAAGTATTTCAAACTTGAACGTTTATTCAGCCTCCCGAAATTGCGACAAAGTGCTCGGCGCCTCCTCATACTACTCTTTTGCCTCAAAAGTTTACCGACGCACTATTGTTTTAATAAGAGCTTTAGAAATTGTTACACAACTAGACAGTGCACACAGCTACAGTCTCTTAAAGATATGATAATTTTTTTAATTTTGTTTTAGGTGGAATTGAAGTTCAAAGTAGGTGATGTTATTTATGTGTACGGTGGTATGGATGAGGACGGGTTCTTTTCGGTGAGTGGAGAAAGCTAAGATATCTGGCACAAAATTATTGTTAGACGTACGCTTCCGGTTAGTAGCGTTTTCGAGATTCCCGCCACTTTGTCAGCCAATCAGAAACAAATGCATTTTCGCGCGCCCGGCGCCGGCTACAATAATTTGCTTCTGATTGGGTCATTAAATTGTTTGAGCCTGTTGTGATTGGCCAAACTTGTTACTATGTTGTAAAGACACCTGTAATCGAAACTGTTTGGTAACCAACACAGTGTTTGGCGTCTGTGCGTCTATTTTATCGATTGAATACTAATTATTTGCTTTGTGTTCCCTGTAGGGGGAGTTACGTGGAATTCGTGGTTTGGTTCCGTCGAATTTCCTTGAGGATTTGTCTGATCCACCTGAAACAACGCAAGAAGACTCTAGTCATAACGACAGCTATGTAAGTGGGCTTTCGTTCTTCCGTTCTTCCTTCCTCCCTTCCTCTATAGACACGCCTACCCTTGTAGTTCTCGTATTACTGTGATTTGATTCGAAAAGACCACCCGCGAAAGCGCGCGAAAAAAAACCGCGCTCCGCCGTAACTGTTGCCATGTTGTCTTTGCTAAGTCTGTCTATTCCCTGTTTCTGAAACGCTCTCAACTGAGGGTATGAAACGCTGCAGTATATTCACTTAAGATGGAAGGTGACCCATAGATATGCGTCTTCAGTGCTTTTATTCTGCAGTCGTGGCGAACAGGAAACTATGAAAGTGGGAACCTGTGTTTACGAAAGACACTATAGTTTGCTAGTCCGCCTAAGGACTGTATGTGTTTTACCCTATTGCACGTTACTCGAAAGCTTTTACTGTACTTATCTCTCTGTTTCATTATTCACTACAGCTGCTGATTGTTTAGTGGCTTCTGCTGATCTAACTACTGCGGGAGACTGTGCTTTCCTCTTTCTGGTATTTAACTACCCTTCTTGTCTTTCCTCCTTTGCTCATTCATGAATAACATTAAGAATGTATTGATACTTTTAACCAGCGTAACCAAAGTGGTAAAAAACTTCAAGCGTCTGAGCATTTTACCGTTCTCTGAGATGTGTGCCCAATTTTCCACAGAGCACTGGCCAGGAAAACCTTATACGGAGAATGTTAGTACGACTATGCACGATACTGTTGCACGTTTAAATTTTCAATGAATAGTTTTTTTATGCGATCGACGGATTCACGGAAGAAATATTAGAGAAAGGGTATTATTGAAAGGATTAATCATCACTATTAATATGCTATAAACTATGAACCATAAACCTTTATCACTCTAAACTTTTGAAAATTTTATTTTTACGCCACTATTTTTTTTGCCTTTATTGCTGTTTATTTTAATCTTTAGTGATATCTAATTTTTGTTAGAATTCAACAAACTTTATCACAGTTTCTTTGCGCCATGTTCACACTCTTATTCTTTTATCTTAATCTCCTTTGTTGTTCTTTTCATTTTGCTCATTTTGGTTTTTTTTTTTTTGCCTTTTGGTTGTTTTTTTCTGTTGGTTATCTATTGCCGTGTTGTGTTCTCCACTTGCGTGTTAATTCAGAGAGCTGATGCTAGTGTAGACTACGAGGAGACCCTCATTTTCCACAGCAAATTAAGAGCGCGCAAAATACGGGAGCTCACGTGAAAGTCGCGTCCTCCCATCCACCCGCGTGTTATCTTCTTCGTGGATGGTAAACCGCGATCAGGGATTTTGTTAGAAAAGGAGGGGGGTGAGGGAAAACGCCCCTCCTTACCAGAAAAGGCACATATATAAGTCAGATAAAGGGAGGGCGTGTGGCCGTGGGTGGGCGATTTCCACAATGGACTACTCCTGATCTATAATCAGCGTGTCTTGGGATGCTTAAGCGACCACCATTTTCCTTCGCAGTCCTTCTATAATCTGCTTAGTTGAACTTAAAGCTGACGAGAATAAAGAAGAACATCATCCAATAACAAATGGCTTGTTTCTTTAACTATTTTGTTTTGTATGATTTTAATAACAAACTTGTTGAGAACGTTGTGCATGATTGCTACAGATTAGGAAGTAATAAGTTTCTTCAAGGTCAGATTATTGGCCACTGTGAAGATGCGCAAAAGACGGTCAAAATTCGTGCCCAAAACAGGCCTACAGTTCAATTTGACACAACACCGACGAACTCTTAGCAATAGTCTTAGTCTGTTCTAGGTGTTCAGGTAGTGGGGAGTGGCACGAAATAGAGAGCGGAGGAAAAGAGGCGGAAGGGAGGAAAAGGGAGAGAGAGGAGGGAGACTTTCATACTACTACCACCACCACTACCACTACCCCTACCAACACCACCACCCCCGCCTCCACTCCCTCGCTGTTTTTTCGCGCTCACTTTTCTTTGCGTCCTCCCCACTATCTGAATGCCTGTAACAGGCTATAATGATCATTAATAGCGCTTTGTTGTAACTTACTGTAAGCTAACTTTGTATTCCAGGAATCTCCGTTGGTTTCTGCAGACAAGTACAATAACGTGAACGGTACCCATCCAGTGGCGGCCGAGGATTCTCCCAAGAAAAAGAAAGGAATCTTATCTAAAGGAAAACAGATGTTCAAGAAAATCGCCAAGGCGCATAACTCGCCCAGAGGACACAATTCCAAGAGATAGCGTAGCTTATAAATTATATTATACGCCAGAACTGTAACTTATTTTGGCATCTTTTGTGTTATATTTTGTGTTCTCAGGGGTTTCCTCCTTTATCTAGATAGGTCGCGATTATTTGACTACGTTTCGGAATATGAAGATAAATATTTTATTATAGTCTCCGTATCGGTTTTTGGATTCAACTTATAACTTAACTTGAGTTACTATTTGAAACCATGGATAGTGAGAATATCAAAGGTTATCCCGTTTTGTATATATACTTTGAGTGCGCTCTATTTCATAACTTTAAATTTAATAAATTGTAGGGTTTTTTAGAGTGGAATAAATAGAGACAAAACCTGTGGATGACGTAGCTCTAATCCACAAGAAGTGAAGTCCAAAAGATGTCAAAAAAGAAGTAGAACGTGTGTAAACACTAATCATATTTTCATGAAGCGGTGATAGTAATGCGTGTTTCCTAAATTATGCGCAATATTTTGTAAAGTCGAATTGATCTGAGTGAACTTAGTTTAGTTTTATAGCTTTAAGAGAATTATAATATAAATTTTACAATATATCGCCTCTAAGCCAGGTGAAGTATTTTATCTAAAGTACAAGGTTGTCTACATGTAAATATGGGTTATAACACCCCTTAATTTATCAATCCAGATTCCTGTGCGGACCGCTGGCTCGTGCCGGATGTACGAGATATTTACTTGTCTGCTAGACAGATAAAAGTATGATGGTAAACGTTTGGAAGGCTTTTTATAGTATTTCCCGAATTAAAATGTCCAATTTTAAATGGTAAGGTCCAGTATATTCTTAACGTTCGTTCGCGTTCTTACTCACACACCCGCTGGCCTTGTCTGGTTCACATCTTTTACCTTTGTAAGCACGAGTAGTGTGTTCTTATTTAATAGTACTTGTTTCAATAGCTACTGTAGGTTTGAGATGTAGATATTATATATATATATACCCATATAGTAACCGCAGGATTGTTAAACTACATGTATTAATATATTGTTTAGAGTTTTACCAATTTACTCACAGACGTTCGCTATTAAAACTATTTTACGGAGAGAATATATCTTGTTGCGAGATTTACCAATTGTACCCTGTTTCCGTGCTTGAAATGAAAACAAATCCTTGGACTAAGACAGACTCGTTCTAGGACAGATAAAAGGGAGCCCATTGCATTGTATCAGGGGAGGCCCGGATGAAAATCGGGGAGCGAGTAGGCTTGGCTGGAATGAGTCTGAGAAAAGTAAGAACTAAAGAAAACCCAAAGTATTCCAGTCATAAAACCATTATAATACTTAGTTACAGATCAAAGGGGATAGATACCTCTTGGGTGAATTTTCATAGAGGGAAAGCTTAATTGTCTTTAAGGCGTAACTCGGTGTTATCGATTGGACCAGGGGACAAATAACGTTTGAACTCATGACGTGTGATCGGCCCCCGCTAATGTTCCTCAACATAAATTAATCAGACGTTTAAATTAGCTTGAATAGGCTCTATAATCAGCAGTTCATTAGAAATTTCTAGTCTATAGCCAATGTCCAAGCGGCGCTCTTGTTCGGTTCTAACAATCACCGCTTGGAGTACTGGAGCGGATGACTGGCGTGATGTAACCAAAATTTGCGATTGAGACTCCCCAATCACAAAATTAATACTGTTTCCATGGTAATCTACTCCAATGAACTTCATTTGTGTCGCTCCTGGTGGGAGCATGGGATTGAAGTGCAGTTGGTGGTTACCATGGAGACGTAATCCACCGTATCCGAACAACAGTGACTGGAGAAATCCCCCAGCGCCAGTGATGAAGTTGACTGCTCCGCCACCGTCCGCTCCCTCAGTCCAAACCATGAACGGCTCCTTTGCGTTCACATAGCTTTCATCGAAGGAAGTCTCAGCGCGAGCGTAGTCTCCTACATCTAACCAGCCAATTGCGAACATTGACTTCGTCATGGCGGGTCCTCTCGGATTTGTCCTAGGTTCATAGAAACTCAGATCACTGCGCCGAACGTCTAAGCTCATGTTTACCATCAAAGGAAATCCAAGCAAAATCACATCCGCTTGCTTCACTTCGTTACCTCGATACCCATCGTATTCAGGATGGTAATTATTCGTAGCATCAAACGGGACATACATATGTTCGGCAATGGTTTTCCAACTGTCGGAAGCGTTCGGCAGAACTTCGTACGCGAATTCAAGATTCATCTTCGCGATCATGTTCGTGTAAACCGAATTGTTCACTACTTCAGCATCTTCGTCCGGTGGCATAACGTTATAGATTACATACCCGTTTTTAGAGTCATTGTACACTGTACGGTTGGCCCAGAACTCCGCGGTGGCTTGAATGACCGGGAAAGCTTGACTCTTAAGCCATTGTTGATCTCCGGATGCTGACCAGAGTTGTTTGACGGCAAAGGCAATATCCCCGACAATATGTTGCTCATAGTCGGAGTAGATTTCACCAGGGCACACTTCTGAGCCAGTCAGGGCGCTTTCCCAGGGAAACATGGCGCCTTTGAGCAACAGTGAGAAAATTAGTATTTCTGCTTTGGAGATCAGGAACGAACCTGAAAACTTCTCTTTAGTTTTAATCACCAGCCGTTTTGGGGAAAATAATTTTATGTGCAAACAAGGCGAAGCAGTACCTATTTAGAGTTGAGAAATTTGCACTTACCCTTGAAACCGTATTTTTTTGCCTTGTCTTTGGCAGCCTGGAGTCTTTCAAACCTGTAAGCAAGACAGGTTCGCGCCAAATTCTGGTGCAGCAGGACTAATGGCGGAAACATCCAGGTCTCCTGATCCCAGAACACGTGACCGTCATAACCATCTGTAGCCAGGCCTCCTGGACTCAGCCCGAACACCCAAGAGGGGCGAAGAGAGCTGATGATAAAGAAAGGAAAACGTACTTTAAAAAAGACAGATCAGTTCAAGCTTTGCCTGCTTAAGTTCCGTGTCTTCATAAAGCAATGTACAGAGCACAAAAAAAATAAATACTACTGTATAAATATCAAATAAGCTACGTAGTCATCAGATTGGAACAGCACTTCACGAATGTTTCTTTTCCATTTCCTTCAGAAGTTATTCAGTAATATGTTCCTTCAAAAGATTTAGCAAGCCTTTCGGAAGCCTTGTTCACTCCAACAGTTCTCAGTCCTAGGATTGTAAAAATTCCGACCTCGGAGACAAGTGGTTCAACTTTTCATACCGGTTATTTTCTCATTAGTGAACAAAACTTATTCTGTGTCTTTTACGTTTCAACTGCCCTCACCAATATTAAGCCGGAAACGTTTAAGGTCAATATCTACTTTGTCCCTGTACACTTAACAATTCTTATTGCTGGCCCTTTTCCAGAGCTTCACGAAGTTCTCTGAGGCACGTATGGTTAGTTTATGCAACGTCTGGGTCAATGAGTTATCAAGATGTTCTTTACAACGTCAGTTCGTACTACTGAAAGAAAATTGATTTTGGAGTCGATACATTTTTTCAATACAAAGACTTAGAAGACTTTTGGGCCTTTTTTTATGTTGGCAGCTACCAGATACATTCAAAACAGCTCATTTTTATTTACGCATGGAACAAAGAGAAGTTGGTACCCTCATCATAAGACAATTTTTGAACAGTATATTCTATAGTGACCCTTAACATTGGTTGAGTAGCCATTTTGTTAGCAGTTCCGACAAATCGACAAAGCCGCTTATCCTGCAAAAGGTACCTGTACACCAGAACGCACGTTCTTACATGAAAAATGGTAGAAAAAAAACGCACACACACACACACACAAAACAAAGCAGTACGAGAACAAAAGATGCTGAAAATAGTAGAATCGCCCATGTAACTTCGCTCTACATTTAGCAGGCAAGCACAACGCGCCGTTTTCCTCGATTTTCCACATGCGAGAGCAGTAAGCGCGTGCTGCCTGAAGACTTCGAGCAATGATTATGTCGCCTAACTGAAAAAAAAATCAAATCTCATCACGTCTAAACGGCATCAAAATGATTTGCAGAACGTGGAGTAGCGGGGGGAGTAGAAAAGTAGGGTGGAGTAGACAACTGGGAGCAGTATGTCTGAAAAAATCCGAGCTTCCGAGCTATGCCCTGCTTGATCATGTGACCGTCGTTTTTTTAAACATTACATTTTTCGCTAATACCCTATGCATGTTTGACTGTCAAATCAGGAATCTATGGCACTGGGGATCTTGGGAGTTGTTCTGAGGAGTTTGTAGTATTTGTCGTAGGCGACATATTTGTATCCATACCGTGTAACTCAAACATACAACACCAACAGTCCACAGTGACAAACAAGAGGCGACGTGCTCAAAACCTTGTAATTTTAACAAACTTGGAGCTGCCTGAGGTCTCCATGTCTGACCTGGACATTAATCCTATTTGATTATGCATTCTATCGAGGTTTCCATTTGGCATTTTTAAGCCTTCTAATTATCATTGGCTTTCCGCGCCAGAAGTCTGTAACTTCAACTGTAGTAATTTTAGGCTGTGCTGACGAAATGCTAAGGTGTGACCATTCACATGAAACTTCTTTAGCACTACTTTCACTTGGTACTATTCAATGCCAAATTTAATTCTTTTTAAAAAATGGAAGTATCGGTTTTTTACAGAAGGAAATTTGGGATTAGCCTCGAAAACCTAGAAGTGGTAGGGTCAAATTCCTCCTGTAAAACTATTAATGGTGGCTAGAATAATCCCTTTCACTGGCTAGCTAGTCGATCGAGACAAAACTTTCGGCCTATTTAAACTGAATAACATCCTAACCCAAGCTGATCTTAACTCCCCGGCTGAATAATATTACCTCAAGTTCTCCTTGCTGATGTTAAAATAAACCTATCAAGGTCTTTGGGATCTTGGATCTTAATCTGGTTATTAAAGGAGTTTATTGCCGACTGGTGTGTCATCACATTTTTTGAGGTGTAACCGGGGTGAGACGTTTCAGTCATGCATAATAACCCAATATCCACATACAAATTCTCCAAACTGATCTCCATACATTTCCTTGAAGAATTAGTTGAGAGAATTTGGTAAAAGATCAAATATTTTTCTCTATGTGATCATTTTGTTAATTCTCATAGACTTTGCTCATGATAGTCTATGGATATCGTTAGGAGAAAATTGACTTTGAGCACTATTGGGACTTAAAGGTTAAGAATAATTTAACTTACCGTTATGCGACAATAACCTTATAATGATCCATTTCCGTCTGGTTAGGATTTTTTCACAGGGTCATATCACAATATTAAGAGGGTCGGCGCATGTTATTACGCAAGCATACTTGAAGCTTAAAATACGGATCATTCCGTTCAGTTTCCTTATCTCCCTGAAAACACTTTCTTCACGTACATGAAACCACTTTACGAACATAGTAACACGCTTGTAAGCGGATCGTTAATGAAATCCAAAATTTTAGGCAGGCTTTTGGCAATCCTTACCTGAGTATGTAGTAGAGACTGCCGGAGATTGCCTGAGCTAAAGTGAGATTTCCTTCCAGCTCAATCCGTCCTCTATCCCATAATTCTTTCCACGCACTTACGTGACTTCCAAAGAGTTCTTCTGGTTTCTCGATACCTGCTGTGTACGCTTCATGAGCAATGTTTTCAAAATCATTACCATCTAATGTGGTCGCTATTGCCGTGATGTAGTACAAAGTTTGAGTATCAGAGTAGGGCTGGATTACAACATGAGGAGGTATGTCCCCCCAGACGACGGCCACGCCTTCCCTTTTACTGTCAGGTTCTTCTGTTATTTTGATATAGCCTGACATGGCATTGATCTTAGGGTCATTTGGGGAGCTTCTTGGTAAATCTTGTATTTGAAATCCAATGTCAGCACTCGGCGGTCCGAACACGTTAGTCAGAAACAAGTTTACAGGGTCACGCATGTTGTTCTTCACTGCGATCTCCGTGACAAGCAAGTGCCGGTGAACAAGATGAGCGTAAATTTTCTCCTCTAACGTGAAATTGTCGACAATAAGGCGGTGATAAAACACTCCTTGTTCAACGTTTAGGCTAAACGTTTCCTTGGTTGCGTTGGAGCTTAGATTGCTTCGTAGAACAATGGCTGCGGTTGAAGGAATCCTCGCTCGGTGGCTTGGAGTTTGCGTGCCTCGTCCGTTGTAAACACCAGACACATACACAGTGTCGCTGTAGACAGTTGTAGCTAAGTACCCGTTACCGACGCTTGGATTCAATCGAGGGTCCGACGGAAGGGCTGAAGATTCAAAGTTGGTAGCATTTGGTGCTGCACTTGCAGAATGACGCATATAAACCAGAGAAAAAACTATAGTCACAAACCGAGTCTCCATCTGTCCTCTCGATGGTTCCGCTGTATGCCTTTTCTTCCACGTGCAGGTCTGTATATTGTTATTGTTTGATGATTAGATTAGATCACTTGAGTTATAGATGCGCAATCAGCAATGGGCAGAGTTAACTGCGCTATCTAGCTATTTTCTTGAGTACCGAATGGACACTCGACGCCATATCAGTAAGTCTTACGACTTTCAGTAATATGATACCATCTCAATATTTCAACACCTTCCCGGGACTCACATGTGCCAATGTAACTCAGAGGGAGATAAGACTACTAGCATTTGCATTCGTCAATGAAATCACTACCGAGGACATTTAAAACGAGAAGCAGGCTTAGGAAAAGCGTGCGAAAACAACTAATAAAGTTCTTGCGCAAGGATGGGCCTCTCAATGGCTTATAAAGAGCTACACCTCCCACTTTTTGGGGTGATCACACAGTAAAGGCCTTTCACAACTAGAGGCTCATCGATTTGGCTTGAGTTTAGTGCAGTCGACTACTTCAAAAGGGTGAGGTCTCGTCACTATGACTTAAGGATACCAGTGCTTATGGCTGACACTGCAGTGTCTGTTTAGTTCGTACATATCTACATTGACGCGATAGCGATCACCATCAATTTTCTCCTAACAAATATCCATACATTGTAAAGAGCAAAGGCTATGAGAATACATCAGTAAAATGACCACTAAAGAGAAAAAACTTTGATGAACTTCTTTCAACAAATTTCTTAAGGAAATGTATGGAGATCAGTGTGAAGAATTTGTATGTGGATCAGTGTTGAATGGTTTATGTGACTATAAACGGAAGTGTTTTTAGTGAATATCCACCTCCAGTTGGAATTAATACATATTTGTTTTCATCATGAGGGATAAAAGCTTTATTTAAAACCAATAAAAACGAAAATGGATTTCAAAAAATAAAAGCAATTTTATTGGCCATTTCATTGTGCTAATTACATTAAAATCAACTTTTCGACTTGTTCCTGGCAGCTGGAAGGTCATATTTTGTTATTTTAAATAAAGAGAACCTCTAAAAAGCGGCGAGTTTGTCGGTTTCGCACGCGCTTCAATATTGAAGCACGTGTAATATAGGAAGATGTACAAGAAGGACTCTCTTCTCTGTCATTACAACTGACTGGCAGTGATAAGAAGGTCTGTGTGGTGTTGTATATTGCTACCATGTCCACCGGCATCCTTACAAAGAACTTTATGAACGACATGTCACTTACTGTACTTAAGAAGAACTGACTCAGCTGAGTTCAAGAGCGAACATCTTTCCTTATCGGATTTATAAACATCCGAATGTCATTCAAGGATTACAATTTCATGGCACGTATACAAAAGTAACTACACGTGTAGTAAGGGACACCAATTGGACCCTAACCTTACCTTGGAAACATTCTCGATCCCAGTGTAGTCATGCGCAGAAGAGCTCTGGGGTCGAAAAGTATGCTTTCTGCGCCTGCGCTGTCACCTTTTGCTTATCGCACGTGTAAATATCCTTATGCATACGCTTGCGTCGTATGGGTTAAAGAGTCTGGATCTTTTATTAGAATCTAATTTTGACGAGCCTAACCATTAACTAAGATGATAGAGCGTTATCATCGTTAGCATTTGAACTTGCCTTTATATAGTCTCCATCGCAGCCGTTTTTAGGCTCGTCACGCAACGGTACATGCGGGAAGGAGCGTTGCGTAACGAGCCTAAAAACGGCTGCGATGGAGACTGGCCTTTAGCCGCTAGGCAAAGAAGGCAGAAATGTAACTAGATCCTTTTTCTTAGTCGTAAAAGTTCATTTTTTTTCTGTGAAGGTGAACTTGAGCCGTAAGTAACGTGTGATTCAGGCTATTTAACATCGGTTTACCCGTAAAACGGATTATCTCTTCTCTCTTTTTTTGTTTTAACTCAGTTAACACCTGGTCACCTGTAAAAACTGCTTATCTACCTTGACTCAATGAAAATTATAATCTTGTTATCGCTAAGCCTGTATTACACCTTTTGTTCGACTCAACACAATTCGGAGAAAACAATAACCATTAGCGTAAGAGGAGAATCTAATTTTAGGAGTCTCATCCATTTTAAGAAAAGGCGGGTTCAAATATGACTCAATGTTTTATTTTCGAACAACCTTCCCACGTAAAGTAGGGATAGGCCTTGACTCGTCCTCAGCCGTCTCTTATAGTTTGTAAATGATCACAGAGCGGTTGCGCAAGACTATGAAGGGGAAAATGGGAAGGAGAGTGGGAAAAAAAGAAGATTTCCTTTTCGCTCTAAATCCTCTGTTAGTTTATCCGCCATATTGGAATTGAGATCTGCCAATAGCTCCCCTAGTCTCCCCATTTCCCTCCTTCACACCTCCCCTCGGGTGTATCTTCATACGCTTCCATCTTAAATATTTGATTGAGAGACAGAAGAGAGGGCTGGCGACAAGTCAATGGATAGGTTTCTTTTCAAAGTCCTTTAGCTCTCGAGATCTACAGACCTCATAAAATTACCCCACCCTATAGCTATAGTAGGCTATAGTAGATCAGACTGGGAATGCCAACATTACTATGGGACTTTTCCAAGGTACGGTGCTCTCTCCTCCCAAGAGGCGCCCGTTGGGTATTCCCCGGGGTCCCTTGGTATTCCAGCAAAAACAGAAATAATAGAAAAATAGTAAGCGCGCAGTGGGCGATGGTCCCCCGCGCGCCTTCTTTCACCTCTCCCCAGTCTCCCGGTGATACAAAGAGACAGCTGTGAGGGAAAGAGATAACTTGGCGTAAAGTTTTGATTTTCAATCTTCACGGTTTCTACAGTTTACCGATACAATGAAATTCTACCCAGTCAGGAATTCACTCGGTTTATCACCTTTGTACAATATTCACCAGAAAGAATAGAGCGTTTTTCTCATGACGTCACGGCGGCCATATTGGTGTTCCAAACAAATCCTGTGGGAGTTGGACTCTTTTCTTATGTAAAAACTTTTTTTGTTCTCATAAATTTGCATAGATGCTGGCCGCGTGACTGAAAACGCTTCATAAAAGAGGCCCTGCCAGGGGGGGCTCCCATGTCGCTCGTCTGAATTTTAAAACGTCTCGTGTCGGTGTTTATTAATGCTTCACGTCGCTGTCGGAAATTGAACGAAAATTCTTTGTCTTTGTCGGAATTTTAGAAAAGGGGGATAGCGATGGGTTTTAAAGAAACCATTGCAGTTGAGCAATTTCTCAGTTAACCTTTCGCGTATAGAACACCTATACATCGCCATTCACAATTAAGGGTGTGTTCCTTTCGGTGAATCCAGAAACGGATTTGGATCTTAAAACGGATTTCACGTTCCTTTCGGCAAATCCAAATTCGGATTTTTGATCTGGTGAATCCTTTTTTGAAAAGGATTCACATTGGATTTGAAATCCGAAGAATCCGAATCAGATTAACGGATTAGTCATCTACGCTGTTCCATTCACAGTGGATTAGAAATTAGTCAGATGATCCAGCTGTACTTCCAGTTGAAGTATTCCCGTAGAGTTTCCTAATTGCTGCCATTTGCCGTAAAACATCTGAAAACACTAGAAGATTGTTCATGGTGGTACAGTAAAATGTCCATGTGCTGACCATTTGTCGCTAAAGATTGCTTAAAAACACAAATAAGTAAAAGGGACAAATATCTGCTATCTTTCTACAAATTCGCTCTTGGACGCGATAGGCACTCGATCGTGTTACATAGAAAACCGAGCTACGAAACTGGATCAAACTGAGCCGACAACCTTTAGATAATTTTCAACTTTAACACGCTACTTTCTTGATCTGTTTATGTTCCATCGTCGTTATTTGAACTGCCGACCACAAAATTCTGCACGGTATAATCGCATAATTTGTCAAACAGTAGAAAACATGTCATTTCTTGAGAGGCTCTGGCTGTCATGCATATTGCACGCGTTTGCGAAAGGTTACCAAGGTCACAAATCCAATTTCGGATTTCACGTTCCTTTCGACCGCGAAATCCAGCAAATCTCGGATCAGAAATCCGTTTTTGGATTCGCTTAAAGGAACACTGTCAGCACACCCTAAGTGATCCACGTTCAACATTTTAAGACTAACTGATCTGATAAATCGTACGTGAAGGCCGGTTAACGGTGGTCGACGCTGTGCGGTGTTTAAGTTACCTGGTCCCTGGTCTCTCCACCGTCGTCATCGTCCGACAGAGGTCGACAAGGATATGAGAACTTCAGAAACAAGCAAAGTATTCACCATTTTCACATAGACCATAATTCACCTTGTTTACCCCCCAAAACTTTGCATAACCATTGTTTTCGATTTCTTTTGGGACGACTGTAATACCCTGGAGAATTTGGAAACATTGGTTATGCAAAATTCTGAGGGGGAAAACAAGGTGCATCATGGCCTATATGAAAGTAGTGATTACAAGAGATGTAAAGCGAGCGTAAATTAAGCTATTTGACGGACAGCCTAGTCCCAAGGTCTCCCAGGAGTTGTGCGGGGTTGCGTAAATGAAGACTACGCGACGGGCCAACGCGACGCGCTCAGGAGGGTCTACTGAAACTCACTGACGAGAGACAACCTCTGAAGCGCAAGGAAAATTGACGAAAATTACTTCTTCTAGGCATTCAGACTGGTGATAAATTAGCCAAACCACCGTTCTTTGTCGCATATTCTCGGCTTTGCCGTCACTGTCGCAATTTGGCAGCGGGAGGTTGTCGCTTGTCGCCATTTCATTTTAGGCTCTGTCGCTACTTTTTGGGTCATGTCGCTTGTCGGAATTTACCCTGGCAGGGCCTCATAAAACGTTTCATTCATTTCATTTTACATTATACAGTTCATGGTTCAACGCGAATTGTTAACAAAGCAAAACAGCCATTTTCAAATGAAGCACGTGGCATAAGAATCGTGTCACTCGCAGGTGTCGCTAAAAAAGCCTATATAAGTCGTCAGAATTAGGGACAACATGTCTAGCTGTCTGTCATGGCCAAAACCTTGGGAGCCAGTTTGAACATATAATTTAACAGAGTGCAGTAAAATATTTTGAAAAAGCATCATCGTTTGGGTGCGTCTACCAAAGATTTCATCCACTAGAAGCTTGAAATGTATTCTTGAACTGCGGAAAAGTGCTGCGTGTCATATTCTTAAAAGAATGTTGATTTGTACTTTTTCTCCTTGGATGCGCACTTTGTATTCTAGTTATTTGCACTTCAGTCGGAAATATTAGCTTATTCCTGATTACCGCAATTTCCGGGCAAAATTTTAAGACTTTCGAAAATTTAAGTCCTTGAAATAACAAATCATTACTTGAGTCCTTTTAGTTCTGAAAACGACTCTTAGGTTTTGTTCGCCTGATCGGACTCAAAGTTATGCTGTTCATTTTTTAAAAAGGTTTGACACATCGTCGAGAAAAAACTCCAAACCATTGACATTGAAGAAAAGTATTAGAATGTTGTGACGAACATCCCTTTTGAAAAATAAATAAAATATCAAAATAAATTCCTTGAATTCTAAGAATTTTGAATACCGGATGTCCATTTGAATGTATTGCTTAGTTTATTTACATTTTAACCATGACAGATCTTAGACTGGTGTCTTGAAAGGTTGTCCGACACAATTGTCTTGGGTAGCCATTGGTAAAGCCAGCAGCTAGGATCACTACTCTTTATTTCTGACCTCTAAAATCCTTCATCTTCATATTGTTTCCTGTTTAAACAGTTTCTGCCATAACCGCGGTTGTAATAATTCCAGGATTAGCAGCGATTGGCCGGTTATGTTGGACTTTCAAGCAATGTCAACAATAGAACGCGTCCCTCATGTACCTATTTTCGGTTAATTTACTTCAGGGTGAGTGACGCAGACGTGCGAAATTTTGTCTCTGACCCCAGTTTGGTTATTTATTTTACCGCATAGAAAAACAAACAAGCTTTCAAATGTTCCTTCGACACGGGTATTTGGGACAAAACAAAGAAATGTTTAAATCGAAAACGCAAAATGGCCTTCTTTTGCCCTTCCCAGTTGGCACTTAAAAAGAAAGGTAACCCTCATGAACTTTTTTAAAGTTCCATCAGGCCATTTCTTTTCCATATACTTTGCATAAAAGAAATCATTAGCATTTTTATTTCTTGAAGTTCACATTGCGCCGTTATTGTAGCTTAATTAATCGCGCTGTTTCATTTTATCGAAGTTATTTCACGCTTATTTTCTTTGCTTAGTGTTGCAGAACAAGAAACCTTATCCCCCGGACGTTTATCGCCCTTCGACTAGTTTAGAACAACATGAAACACTGCCGCTCGAAATTACAAAATCTGCTTTGAAAAACGGCGCAGTTATAAAACACAAGCAAGGGAAGCGGAGTGTCAGAATAAACGAGTTTGGATTCAAGCATGAAACACTAACTGAGCGTAAAATTCGAGGGGCAAATCTAGCCAAACCTGCAAACATCAGAGTGAAGATATTGCAAAGTTACGAGCCGGTTGACAAGGAAGAACTGAAAGTCCGCAAGGGAAATTACGTTAAAGTTCTTTACCAGCAAAATGATTGGGTCTATGTCGTGGATTCTTCAGGAAAAGAAGGATTTATACCGTATTGTTATTGCTCCACAACCAATACATCTACAGACTCCAAATCAAGCACTTCGGGTTACGAAGACAGCTTCGAAGATAGCGAAGATGGAGCCGGGGAAAGACCGATCTTTTGCGAACCTCAGTTTACGACGAATAAACACAATTCTAAGTTGATGACTTACTTTCCAAAACGAGCTTATGGGCCGCAATTAACTGTATTATATGATTACACAGCGTATTATGAAAACGATATCAGTGTTTGTCGCGGTGAACTTGTTATGCTGCTAAATGATCAAGATGAAGATTGGATTTGGGTCGCTACAGAGGACGGCGAGGAGGGTTTTGTACCAAGAAGTTTTGTTGTCTTACATGTATGCGAAGGTAAATAACAATGAATAGTTTCCTTTTCACTCTGATGTACTTTTAAGTGTATAGCTATGGTTTCTTAGGCTAACCCGAACATATCTTTTTTAGCCCCTTCACAAATATACAGAATGGAGATTGAAGGTAACGGAATTGAATTTTCCGGTGAAATCCGTGGCACTGCGACATTTCGAGTCGATTTCGAGACATTATAATGAGCTATCAGTGTCAGAATTTAAGTTAACGTTTTTCTTTGAACACGTTGTTTGACTACGAGGAAGTGACTAATAGAACTAGTGGGCTCAATATGCGGGCTTCATAAACCAGCCGCAAACTATGATATGTTTATATCACTAGATCGATTCATTCTCAGGAGTTTCCAGCCACTGAGAAGGCGATAATAACGTATACTCAGTGACCAAAACATAGCTTTAAATGATCAGAAAGAAATGTAATGTTATTGTCTTTTCTACTCAGTATTACTAAATTACAGCCCTGCCCAAAGAATCAGTTTACACTGAATTTTATTTAGGTTTTTTCCGGGTTGAAAATAAATCTACAAAGACAAATATAGCTTTTTAATGACTAAAATCACCAAAATTACCAATAAGGAAATACCAAATAGTTTGATTAGTTTGATCTATATTTTCGGGAACTTTCACTCTGCGCTCTACTTTGTGGCCCTCAGCTTTCGGCTTGTCAAGCATTTGCGATCGGTGCAACTTTCTAAAACTTCTTTCATGTTTTAAAAGTATATTATTGACCACTAAAATGCTGATGTAGTTTCATTTTTAGTCTTCAGTAATCTTCTTAGGCTTCGAATAGCTGGAGATTCATTTTTATCTGTTTTATTTATTTGAGTTAAAGATGTGACATTTCTCGAACCAAGAGCTATACACTAAGAGTTCATTCTGCACCTTCCAATGAAGTACTTACACGACGGTTATACTGGATCACCTTCTCTTCGTGCATAAGGAGCAAACAAAGCTATATCAGTTTATTTTTTATTAACAACGTGGTGATCGAGCCCCTACGTGATAAAGCGAGACTTGTTATTTTAGCACTAAAAATTCAGTCATAACTGTTGTTGAAAGTCCCTCGGATTGTTTTCCTATGGATAACCTCGACCCTAGCCTATGTTTTTACCGTCAAAATCTTTTCAAGAGTTTCTCTCCTCAAGTCAAATCTTGTGTTTGATGCACATGAACGATCTTGATAAACGGTTCTCTGATTAACGGTAAAACAAGCGTTTGAAAACTGAAGGAAAATGAAAACATGTAATGGACCTTGGTCCTTATTTTGCAATTGTTTACTTAAGGGTGAATCATATTTTTATTTGTAATTGTTTTGCAGTTTAAAAGGTAATTAATGTACCATATGAATGGCATTTTCCCTAGAAACTTGTCCTCTTTGAATTAAAGAGAAATATATAAAAGAAGAAGAGTTCAGGTCGCAGCAGCTTATTGTCAAGTTGCGATTTTTTTATCACATTCAAACTAGTCTTTATTCTTTTTCCCAGGTTGCCTGCAGCGTTTATCCCTTTCAAACTCAGTACGCTCGCAGGACTTTAACTCACCTGACGTCACACCAACAAGCTCTTCTTCAACTGGCACCAAATCAAGGTCATCGTACACAGATGTGACGTCATCAGCAGCTTCAAGTGAAAAGACTTACGACCTGAAAGGAACTAAGTTGATAGTACTTTTCAACTTCGAAGGGCAAGCGTTTGACGATCTGTCTGTCCATCCGGGGGAATATGTTTTCGCGAACCTTAAGGACCAAATTGTGCCTGGAATGATCTGGGCTTATTCTCCACACAGAAGGAAATCTGGCTTTATTCCTGAAGATCATGTTAAAGAACCGATTGTGACAGATATATGAAGAATCTATTTCTCCGCAAGTCTACAGAACAGTTCAAGCCACTGAATGCCAGAGGTTATCTTTTTATGGTTCTTTAAGACATGCTTTGGGGGCTTTCCTTGTCTTGGTAAAGGTCTGGACAAGGGGACGCATTGCAATATTGTCGCAATTGATTAGACTGACTCTAGCCTGTTTGCAACTGACCTCCAATTGAATTTTGTACGCAATATTTCGGCAGAACAATCTTGTTCTACCTCTACAATTATATACAGTGCAGAGACTTTCATCTGTACCTTTTAAGACTTCATTCTTCATCCTGCCAATTTTCACACTCAAATTTGGCCGCTAGCACGTCTGGTAACGCTCAGTGTTGCAACCCTTTGTAACCTTTCAGCAACTTACGTTTAAGGTTCCAATAATCGTGTCAAGCGAAGCTAGCATGTTGTCTGCATTGAACATTGTACGCAGTGCTACTTCTTGTGCCCGGACGCACCAACAAATGATGCAATTAACAACCCTCTATAAACATCTGTCGCACTTTTAGAGGGGAAACACCATTGAAGGCTACAAGAAAAAATAACTTGCGTTAAATTAAGCTTGCAAGGTAATTTTTAGTGTATACCGGGTTTAACGCGTCAGAGAAGTGACTGAACAAGAAAAGATAAAAATTGAATCAACTAAGGGTGGAGAAAAGAAAGAAGAAATAATTCTTTTATTTTCCTCCCTCTTCTCGCCTCTTACTGAACATGTCGCGGCCTCCCACCTTTCTCTTCTTCTCCAGAGTAGCTACAGGTGAGAAGAGAGCACAGATGTAGGCACGTTGCAAGCTTATGGGTGAGTGGGTTAGACGCTTACTTTGTATCACGATCTGTTCGGAATGGTAGGGGGGATTTCCATTTAAAGGAACTAGAAAATCCCGAGCTTTTATAACTAATTTCGAGAAGAGGAAGGTCTTCGTCCAAGATTTTACTCTATCAGGAAGGTTACTTCGTCAAAATCAATGGATACATTTGATTCAGCACAATTCTCACCACACCAAACTTCTGTGCCAACTAAAAGCGAAGACCTTTTTCCAAGTTTTCTTTGTACTAAATTTTTATCTAGCTTTGTCAGAAGATATATTTATGGTCCGATTTTCTTCGACTCATCGATCAAGTTAGTTGAGTAGTAAAACATTTTGTAAAATTAAATGAGAAAAATAGATCTAAAAATATAACGATATAAATATGAAATAATTTTGAATTGGAAAAATCCCGCTTTACAAGAAATACAAGTTTGTAATAGAACAACAACAACAACAACAGAAAACCATGATCCTGAAAAAAGGCTGGATTAGTGGAAGCATCTTAATCGGCTTCAAGACAGGAACGCATTCATTTATTTTCCATTAGTCGATAAATTTAGGACAATTCCCTCGGCTAATCCGCGATTAGCAATGCCGCGTTAAGTTGTAAAAAAAAAATAATAATAATAATACCAGCAGCTCAATTTGCATCAGTCTGTTACTGCAATTTCAAAACACTGTTGGCTGCATTCATTTGAAATTTCTTAATTTAATGAATTAGTTTAATTGTTGTTATCGATTGTTCGCCCTGCCTCGTACCATCTCTCTCTCGATAAAGATTTGCGCCCAAACGTACGAGTTTCGCCAGTCTTCTTTCTTCTTTCCGTGGTCCCTTGCGCTTCGTCACCAGTCACTCGAAGCCGGCGTTTCGCTGGCCTCTGGGCGAAAACGAAACACCTGAGGAGGAGGCAGTTAGCCCATTTGCAGCTTACATTCAGGCGACCACCTTAATGCAAAAATTATGGGATACAACTTTAAATACTTGAGTTGAAAAGAGCATGAGCAAGTTACCTAAAATGCAAATTTTGAGGTGAGGGACACCAAAGAAAAGATTATGTTAGTTTCGGAATCTCTGAAAACTTACAAGGATTATTCGTATACGAAAAATACTGGACCGCAAAAAGTGCAGTCCAGCGACTTTTTCCATTGATACATATCACATTTACTCTGGCATTCAAACCACCATAAAATAGCACAGTCGTATTTTTAGATATTCCATAACGTTGGCAAGAGACAGGTCACATGATTCCAGAAGCATTTTTTTCCCTGCCCACCTTCTTTTATACTAAGAGTTGAGTTCTATGACCTTAAATGGGGGAACAAGCTATTGCAGACCGTTTACGATCTAAAACCTTTCGAGTACTCCACTTATTAGCTTCATGCGCCCACGATCATTTGCCCCTTCCCGCCTGGGGAGGGGAGTCGGAGGGAAGGGTGAGGCAAACTCCAATCCCCAGTCCATTTTCCCTTCCTGACCTACCCGTTACTACTTCTTTGCGACCCGTTTTAAGGCAGTCGATGTCAAGGAATAACGCATTGCCTTTTGCAGGTGAGATCTGTATGTTTTGTCCTTGGGGAACTGGCGTCAACTTGAAATTGAGGCTACTTTCTTGCCTCATGTACTTAGTGCCCGCGCCTCAGTATTCGAAGAGAGCTCTCGGTTACCAAGACTTAGTGAATTCCGATTGAGTTCTGAATCTAAAGAAGGTTTTCATCAAGAAATACACGGGGCGAATTGACCAGAAAAGACAAAAGACTACTTCAAAGTGAGTAACTTAACTTTATTTCACAAAAAATTTAATCTTTATCTAGTCGAAACCCATTTTTTCCTTAGCCCATGTTAGGTGTACTGCTTAAAAATATGGAAAAGTAAGTCATTTTTTTTTCCTACAGCCTGATATATATAATCTATGTACATAAAGATTTATATATAAATTTCTTCTCCTCTTCGTCAGAACAGGGTTGAAAAATGCATCAAAGAAAAATTCTTTGTCTGAATATAAAATTCAATGTTCAATGTTACAAAATTATGTAAAACTATTATGCAACAATTAAAGCTGAATATAATAACACCCATCCACAAAAGGATGCATAGTCATCTCCCCACTCTTTCACTCTGTAAGTAAAGGCCTTTACTTAAAGACTTTTGTCAGGTTTGTATATGAAATTAGAAGTTTGATCAGTCTATAAGGCGGTTGTTTACTTTTGAACCGAACTGTATTTTAATTCCTTTGTACTGTTGGCCTGCTTTCATTACTGTCACATCTGAATAAACTGTTACATAACAGGACTGTCATTAAGAGGCGGGGGCTGGGGATTTCCCCCAACTAGAAAGACCGTGGCCCTGGCTACTTTCATAAGGAAATAGGAGAAAAATAGAACCAAAAGAACTCTTGCTGTTTGATTCTCCACCTAGTTGTTGTAGTTACCTGGCAACTTGAAATCTTAGTGACAGCCCTGCATAACATATAGCTTAATTTTTTGGCAACTACAACTGAAAAAGATGAAATTTCCTCCTTGGTCTTTTTGAGTCATCAATCTTTAGCCCTTTTCAAAGTGGAAGACTAAACATACAGCCTTTCAGAGGTGCTTTCTTGTGTAAGAACATGCAAGATATTTATATTTTGTACTGTGGCTACTTGTTATTGTATTGCCTTTTTTTAGTCCCTAAAGATCCATGCATTTTGAAATTGTTGCAAAAATGTAACTGAATAAAGGCCGGTTGAAGGATATTTACAGCGAGCTGCTTTGGTTTGAATGTAGAACTAAGACTAAGAAAACAAGGGAGCAAAACTAATCGCAATTTGCATTTGAACACTGAAAGTGAACTATAATTACGATGGAAATGGGCCCTTTGCAGCTTGTTGTTCACGTGGTACGTAACTGCCATGGTGAAGAGCAACGGATAAACTGGAACAAGACAAGCAAAGAGCTTATATCATTAAAAATGTAGTTTTCTGTCTTTATCTCCTTCCAGTACATCCCTTGCTCTCCAGCATAACGATTTTGTACCATGTGTATGACTTACTGGGTATGGCCTATAATGCATTCAAAAGTATACTGTTGTTGAGATTTGGCTGAACTGTGGCTTGTTCTAGTGCTACAATAATAAAAATCATTTGAAAGCTATAAAAGCACTATCTAATAACTCAAAATTTGCATTTTAAAATACTTTAGCAACAGCCTTATTGCAAGCTTCTTTCTAAATCGAACTGCGGACATGGCACTCTTGAGTGTAAAGATTGGTGACTTACATTTCACCAGCGTTTGACCTGCTCCTAACCCTTTCACTCTTAAACCACGTCATGGTGAAATGATTCATCCTTTTAACTTTTGATAGACTGCTGGAAGTCTCTCAAGATTGTTGCACAGGCAAGCAGGCATTTGTCTTGCTTTCTCGTACATGCTCGCACATTCATATCATGCTTGCCCTTGCCAAATCCTATGGTTTTACTATTGAAATGAAACCTCTTAAGCAGTAGTATCTATTTATTATGTAGCTCTAATGTTTTAGTCTGTGGACAGAATACTACGATGTTACCATTCCAATAAAACCTCTTCAGTAGTATTTTCACATGATACTATTCATTTAGTATGTAGTTCTAACTTTTGAGGCTGTTAATGCAATCCTATTGTGTGGGGACAACTTTTGCACACTACTACTTAATTACTTCGAAGTATATGAGAAAAACTTTGGCTATTAGGAATGAAAGTGTTAAACCTTAGGAAAACGATTTTCCTGGAAGGTGACGTCAATTAGCCTGGATAAATATTTAGTGTTCTGGATTATAATCGTTATACTCCTGCTTTCCTTATCAATAAAATAGCATCCCCCTAATGTGGTGTTTACGTGACAATCAATGCAAGAAAACAGCTTCAAAACAATTCAAGAAGACCACTACATCGATATTGAAGGAAATTAAAATTGTAAAAGGTACCGTGGCATAGCATATCTAAACACATTTTGAAAAAATCGGCCTTAACCTTCCCTGTTATTAGAGTGTAGTTTTAAACACCACTGCTTAAGCTTGTACTGATAAAGAAAAACCCATTTTCTTTCATTTTAAATTGTTTATGGTAAAACGACGATAAAAATATAATCTAAAACTTTGTTAAAGATGTCCCCAATAACTTGAAATGCTTAATTCCAAAATTAAGTTGATCAAGTTCACCGAGTAATGTGGATTATCTTGGCTTAAGAAGAGATGATCACTGAAGCGAAATCTGTTTAAAACTCTTGGTGAAGCCCTACCTGTACAATAAACTTTAATAAGCATAATACAGACTTGAAATTTAAGCGGGAATCACACGGAACCCGCGGAAGTAGCTACACCTTTGGGTGTAACGAATATGGATAAAATGACGTCACGAATTTTGGAGCGTATGTGATTCGATATTGAAGATAGAAAACTTCCTTGCAAACTATTTTTTACCAAAAATTATGATGAAACAATAAATTTGTCAATATATCCTATTATTTAAGCTCTATTTTTGGCAGTCAATTATGTGTATCATAAGACATTTGAGCCTGCTTTGGGTTGGCCTTAAGTAACCTGTAACCATGTTAAGAAACAAAGAAGGAATAGTCTATTCGTATACTATGAGAGTGATTTTACCGTTCAATTTTATCTCATTAAAGCACCCTCTTTTTCCTGCTAAGATGCGAAAAACCCTAGATATCAAAGACCTGCCCAAGTTTCTAGGCCCGTACGAGTGGGTACCCTCCACCGAAACCATGTATTCACGAAAACCGCATAAAGCATTTTAGTCGTTTTACGTTCTTGAAATTACTCGCCTTTCCTTTCATAGTAGAAGTTAGATTTCAAAAGATAGATAACACTATCCACTGGATAAATCCCCATTCAATGGGCAGCGCAATTGGTTTCCCGTAATACTTATTCACTGGATAGAGATTTATCCGGTGGATAGCGCTATCCAACTTTTGAACGACTGGGGCAGATTCCTATCTAAGGTTTCCCGATAGACACAGGTCACTTCCCTTGCTCTACCTCATTGGAGAGCCGCAATTGTTGTATGCAACGTTATGCCTAAACGTATTTTTCTAAAGGCGCAAATTCAACAGGCCTCATACCAGGCGCCATACCAGGTCTTCTTCTCTCCTTCTTACAAATGGGGCACTGATTCGGTATTGGAGGCGGAGGACGCTCCACTGGCGGCTGCCGGTGAAGAGGGCACGTTTCAACCACTGACAAGATAGGACTGCAGTAGGAACTCTTGCACACGCTGCGATCGGTCTCCGAGCTACGGCTCGAGTCTGTGGATGGCGGTGAAGGGCCTTTCGAGCTTGGGGCAGCACGTCGTTTCATTTCAGGTGACCCCGGATACCGCTTCACTGCGGGAGAGCTATGGGAGCGCTTTTTGTCTCTTGGGGGAACTCGCTGAAGTTGTCTGCCTCTTCCCTCTCCATTATAAGGGGGCATTGGAGCTTGCAGCCCTTTAGAAAGCTTTATATCCCCTGGAACTGCATCATGAGATTTGCGACGCTTGTCTGGAGCGCCATTCACCACACTGGTCCTCTTAGCAGTGACTCTTTCTTCTATGGGATCAAATCTCGAAACAGACAGCTTTTTCAGGGAACCATTGACAGGCCTGCTTTCGACTTCAGACCTCGAAACTTCGGTGATTTCTTTCTCTTCAGAGACCGCCTTTCTGCCACGCAGCTGTTGACAGGCGCGCCTTAGAAGGTCATTCTCCTTTTTCAAACCCACGATCTCTTCCCTTAGTTTCTGAGTAGTTTCTATGAGCTGTAGATTTTCGTCTTCTAATCGCCGGTATTCGGTTCCCATTTGCTCCATTTTCCCTGAAGAATCTTTGAGATTTTCCGTTTCCTTTAGCAGTGCATCCAAACGGTCCGAGAGAAGCTTAGTCCTCATTTTCATGGCGTTGTCTTTCTCGATTACTTGCTCAGCCAGTTGCTCTTTAAGGTACGTTTCTCTTTCTTTCTCAGCTTCAAGCTTCTTGACCTTGAAAGCAAAGATATAAATAAATAAATAAATAAATAAATAAATAAATAAATAAATGAATAATGATGATGATAATGATGAAAAAAAATAATAAAAATCAATTCAAAACACTCCCTCCAAAAGAAACTGATGTTTTTCCTCAAATCAACTTGTGGAGCTGTAACTACTGTTTACGTAGGCACGATTTCCGCCGTTCTCTCGGTCTTCACCGAGAATTCGAAGATTCTGTTCGGGAAAGGAGCACTGGCTCATTTCCCAAACAGCGGCTGGTAATCGAGGCTACTGTTTACATAGGCAGTCACAAAGACTATTTCAGCCATTGTCGTCATTAACTCAAATACCCCAATGCTCCTTCTAAAACATACCACTGGAAAGGTTACATATGCTTTTGGAGTCTGAAGTCGTTAATATTATTATACGTATAAAATTAATTCACTCATGTAATCAAATACCCTCGCATAAACGCCTTACCTTAGGTTTCTGCAATCACTTTTTTATGAGACCTCTCGATGGCAACCGCCTCGTCAAAATAAAATATTATTTGTCGCATTTTGGGTGGTATATATAACAAGATGTGGCCATATCAGGGATTGTAATGACGGTATTATAAAATATTTACTATTACATACTTAGAATAGAATGATAATAGACAATATTATATACTCATAAAAGTTAATTATTGTAGCGTACCTTGGAAGCCATGTCTTTTAATTCTTCGACAACTTTGTTAACATCTTGACCTTTGGTCTCCAGTGCCTTGTACAGGTCTCTTACGTCCATCTCCAGCTTCCTGTTCATCTCTTCAAGTTTGTCTTTCTCCGCGAATAAGCTCCTGAGTTTGTCGTTTAGCTCTTTATGATTTCCTTTATCAAGAAGAAGATGTTCGATCTCAGCTCTTTGCTCACGGTTGACTGTTTCTATGCGCTGCTTGTCGTATTGTAGCTGTCGCACTCGAGATAAAGCAGTTTCTTTGTCTTTTTCCAAACCACGACAGTCGTTTTCAAGTTTCCTTTGGAGTGTGCTCAGTTCCTCCACCCTTGTCTGCAGTGAGATCGCTTGGTGCTCTTTGGCGTCTATCTTGGACAGCAAATCTTGATTCTTGTTTTCCATTGTCACTTTAAATGAGTGTGCGTCCTCGACTAGTTGAGTTCTTTCGTTTTCCAATTCTTTACAGTTTTCCTCCAAACTATTGTTCTCGTTCTTAAGTTCGTACTGTTCCGTTTGTAAGGCTTTCAAACTCTCCTTTGTCGCTTTAAGTTCAGATTCTATCGCCATGTTTTTGTTAATGGCAACTTCTTTGGCGTTGGATAATTCACTGATTCGATGTTTAGCATTTTCCAGTTCTTTACAGACCGCGGCAAAATTATCTTTGTTTGATTTGTCTAGTTCTTTTTTGAAGTCCTTCACATTCTTTTTCAGTGTTTCATTTTCCGTAGATAAGCGCTCTTTGTCCTTTTTCAATTCCTTTACTTTGTCCGATTCTTTCATTATTTTCCCGTCTTTTCCTCTCGTTTCCTGTAGAGTTTTCTTCAATTCGGCGTTTTCTTGTTTCCATGAGTTCTTCTCTGCCCGTTCATCGTACGACAGATTACGAAGTTTATCGACCTCGAACCGGACTTCCGAAACCTCAAGCTCGACAGCTGTTTTCTCCTTCTGAGCAAGCTCTAATTTTTCTTGCAGATCGTGAACCTTTGAATGGAGTGAGTCTTTACTCTTGTTAGATTCTTGCGCACACTCCTTCAAAGCGGTTATTTCAGCATTCAATCGGTTTTTCTCCCTCAAGAAATCAAGAAGATTTCCTTCGCCCTTGGATCTTTCCTGGCTTAGACACTCTTCTAAACCTCTAATATTCCTTCGAAGGTCTTCAAGACTGTCTTTAAGACGCTGAGCCTCTTCTAAATCAGTTGCCGTCAGGTCACTTTGCGTCTCTAATTCTTGCGTATTGACTACCTTCTTTTGCCTACCAGTGCTCGCTCTTCGTCGTTTCCCCGGTTTTTCCGTACAGTCGACGAGCTGTTTAAATCTTTCAACTTCAACTAACGACTCATTCAATATTTGCTTCAAGATGACCCGGGCACTTTCGGAACGCTTGAGTCTTTTAGCAAGTCTATCCCGCTCTTTCCATGCGTCGTCTAGCTGTTTTAGAAGCTCTTTGTTCTCCTGTGTAGACTGTTCTATGAAGCTTCTAGTGCGCTCTTTGGATCTGTCAGCATCTTCACTGATAGAATTCCGCCTGCTCTCCCTAATGTCGTTCTTTGCTCGACTTAACAATTCGGCTGTCTTGGCGATTGCCTCGAGCATATCCGACTCTGCTTTCTTCAAACTTCCTTTGAGTTCAACTACAGTGATGAACGAAGACCTGTTTTTCTCCATGGATATAAGCGACGAAAACTCTCTGCGCATTTTGTTGTACTCTTTCTCCATGTCTTCGATGCTGGATTGAAATAGCTTGCGTTCTTGTTCGTGGAGTCGTTCTTTCTGTCTCAACGCGTGTAACGCATCGGACAGTTCCAAGTGGAGATCGAACACTTGATCGCGTGCTTTCCTTAGTTCGCTCCGCAGCTCGTGCTCGTGTTCTTCCAGCATAGCTATTTCTTTCCCAGCTTTTTCAAGCGAGCTTGAGGTGACAGTCGTTTGTGGGCTCAGGTTAAACTCGGAAACTCCGGATTCCAACAAATTTCCAGCCGAAGAACTTCGGAGCCTCCCTTCAGAGACCAAGCTGTGCGACCGTTCTCTACCTGTTGCTTGCTGTAGTTCTTTCTTCAGTCGTTTTTCTTTTTCTCTAGCGAGTTCTAGAGCCTCCTGAAGGCGGTTGTTTGCACGTCTTATACTTTCTAATCGTTCTTCGTCCTCACATCTTTCTTTCATAGTTTTGTAGAATTCTTCACGAGCTGCCGCCAAATGCGCTTCTTTCATCTGGAAATCTTTCTCTTCTTCAAATCGTGAACGCTTATATTCTACTATTGCTTCTTCGAGCGAACCTATTCTCATCTCCTTTTCAGCTAGTTCGCTTTGAAGTTTTGAAAGTTTATCTCCATGGTCCTGTGCCGTTGTTCCATCTTTGTTCTTGTCAATGTTTCCCTTTTCTTTTTGTCTTGTTCGTTTGAACCCGTCTATTTCTTCTTCAAGCGAGGCAATTTTCTTGTCCTTATCGGCCAACTTTTGTTGTATTCGATCTAGATGGAGATGAATCTCTTGCTCTCGGTCCGATGCCGATTGTTTGTGCGTAGCAAACTCCTTTTCAAGGGAGTCAATCTTTTTGTCTTTTTCGTTCAATTCGATCCGTAGCTCTTCAAGTTCTTCCACTTCTTTCTTTGGTTTCTTCAGCTTCACCTCAGTTCCTCCTGATCTTTTATAGTCCATGACTTCTTCCTCAAGAGATGTAACGCGATTGCTCTTCTCATCCAACGCTTTCTGCAGATGGTCGATTTCATCATAAAGGTCTTTCTCCGTTTGTTGCAGTTTCTTTTCAGCTTCCTCTTTTGCTGAAGTTATCTCCTCTACTGCCTTACGCAAAGTCGAGTTCTCACTCTTTTTGTTTCCTAACTGGTTCATCACCTCTTGCTTTTCAAGGCGCGTTTCATTCATCTTACGTTCCAGCTCCTTCACTTTCTCTTTACTTTTAGTTAGCTTCTCCTCGGTGCCATTTCGAACTCCTTGATCACCTTTCTTGGGGACGCGGATTTTTACTTCTTGATCGCTTTTCTCTAACGCTTCCTCTAACTTTTTCCTTTCTTCAAGAACTTTTCGATACTCCTGCTCTTTTGCTTTAATTTCTTCCCGAAGCATGTTCTTATCCTTCAGAAGAACTTCCAGCTTTTTCGACAATTCCTTGTTTGCGTCGTCTAGTGATCCCAACTCTTCCTTGTAGTGTTTTTCATTCTCGTCCAGTTTGTCTTCTAAGCTCTCCTTTTCGTCAATCAAAGTGTCCACATCTGTTTGTAGCTTTTTCGTCTTGGATCTCAACTCATCGATAATCTCGTTCAGCTCGTCTTTCTCATCAATAAGCTCTTCTATTTCTTCATGTAGTTCGGCATTTAATTCGCGCTCCTTGGATAATTTGTCTTCAACACAACCATCCTCCTGATCTTTAGCTGATCCTAAACCGTATTCCATTTCTACTTCAGATGAAAGCAAGCCTCCCTGGACACATGCGATTATTTCTTCATTTCCACTTTGCAGTAAGTTATCGGCATCTGTCTGGTCTTGAGCGACGTTATTTTGGGACGAAATTTTAATAGCCTCCTGTTCTTCCCGGAGACGTTCCATTTCCTCTTCAATACTCGCTCTCTCGCTCTTCTCGCGACGAAGTTGCTTTTCCACCTCGCGTTTTTCCTTTCGTGTTTGTTCCTGATCAACTTTATCATCGACTAACTTCTGAGAGAACGCTTTAAGAGCCTTATGTTCCTCTGTAAGTTTTGCCAAGTCCTTTTCTACGGATATCTTCAACTCAAGTTCTTTCTCTAGCTCGCCATTTCTCTCGATTGTCTCGTTCAATTTCTTTTGTAGGGTATCACATTCATGTCTTAAACTCTCCAACTCGGTTTCTATTCGTACTGTCTCGGTGTTCACTTCGTTCAACAGAGTTTGTTCCTTATTCTGTGCTTCTCCAAATGCTGAATTAAGAGAAGCCATTTCTTTCTCAATGGCTTCTAACTTCTTTGTCAACTTTTCGTTCTGCTCTATGGTCGTTCTGGTTGTGGCTTCGGCTTTTCTAAATTTATTCTCTGCAGCATCTAGAGACTTCTTCAAGTCTTCTCTCTCTTTTTTCAGCTGATCATATTTGCTTTTCCCTTCCTGGTAAAAATCTTTTGAACGATTCAGTTCCTTTTGAATGTCTTCCAAGGACGAACTCTTGCTTGCGAGGTCTTCTTTTAGAGACGTTACCTCCGAGTTCGACTTTTTACACTCATCTTCTAGAAACGTTTTGGTGCAGTTCAAGTCCAGTAAACGTTTTGCTTTGTCTTTATTTTTAGTTTCCAATTCTTTTACACTCTCTTCTAGAGTCAACCTTTCTCTATCGTGGTCCGCTATCTGCTGCTTAAGAATTTCGTTTTCGTCTTCGCGTTTGGCTATCATTTCTTGCACCTCTTTCAACTTCTCATCCAACGCTTTCTTTCCCTCCGTCTCCTCATCCAGTTTCTTTTGCAAATTATTCACCTCATCGACGGCCTCTTTCTGTGATTTCTCGGCTTCATCACAGTTCTTTTCGAGCTTAGCAATTTTACTCTTTTGGTCATCTACAACTCTTAGCAAGTCTGTCATTGCAATGCTCGACTTCTTGATTTCCTCCTTAAGACATTCAAGCTGTTCGTCTTTTTCATCGAGATCGTTCCTCCATCTCAACTCACTTTCTTTGTTCATCGTCTCAAATGACAAAATTGAAGCTGCTTGAGCTTCTACATTGGCCTCTAGCTCACTGTTCTGTTCTCGTATCTTGATATTCTCCTCCTGCGCTTTGTTCAAGCGCTTTTCAAGCTCTCGAGATTTGTTTAAAGCCATCATGAACGCCTTCTTCTCCTCTTCGAGTCTATTGATGCAAAGTGTATGCTCTTTTTCCTCGCTCGTTGCATGCTCCAGTTCTTGACTTAAGCTTGCAACTGTGTTCTTTTCGCGTTCCAGTTCAGAGAGCAACTTGTCAGAACTGCTCTTCGCCTCTGCCAGTGCTACTCCCAAATCTGAACTCTGGTTCTTTGCATTTTCTAGTTCTTGAGTCAGTCTTGAAACGTTTTCCTTCTCGCATTCTAGTTCAGCCAGCAATTCATCCGACGCTTTTGTCGCATGTTCCAACGCTACCGTCACTTCCGCTTGGGTTAAGCTCAGCGACTCTGCCTCTTTTTCTTTATTTTCCAACATTTTTGTCTTCTCGACAGCCTCAGCAGTTACAGCAGCAATTTGACTTTCCTTGTGCGCCAAAGCAGCCCCTAACTTCTCCTTCTGTAAGCTTAGCTTTTCAATAAGACTACGGACATCGCTGATCTCACGTGACAGTCGGGTCTCATCATACCGCGTCGTGGTCGGTGACGATGGTTCATCAACGTCCTCTTTGCCCAGTGCCTCATGTAGTTGAATTGTTAGCTCTGTTCGCTCTTGAAGGAGCTGTTTGTTATCATCTTGAATTTCGCGGCTTGAATTTTCAGCTTCCTCGAGCTTTGCTTCTACAGATCCCTTTTCTTCTAAGACAGCAACAATATATTGATAAACGTATTGAAGATTTGCCTCTGCTTGTTGGGTACCTTCAGATTGTTGCGCAGATTTCTTAACCACTGATTCGTCGATAAGAGCGTGCAAATCCAAAGCTTGGTCTCTTAGTTCCTTAAGCTGATCTCGCATGGAATTACTTTCAATCTTTGTTTCCTCTAACTTGTTTGTGAGGAATTGTTTGTCGCCATCGAGTTTTTCCACTTTTTCTTTCAGGTCGGAGATTTCTCGAGACTTCGCAGCCATTTGATCCCCAAGGAGCTTTTCATTTTCTTCAAACTGGGTGACTTGGACCAACAACTTATCTTTCTCTTCTTCAGCAAGTTCCAAATCGTCCCCGGCGGTGGCAAGTTTCCCTTGAATACCTTTCAGCGTGCCTGTTAGGGTCTCGATTTCATCTCTTAACTTCTTTGCAGTGTCTTGTAACTCCTGCTTTGACTTTTTTAGCTCTTCATCTTGTACGGTCTTTTGAGTCTCAGATTCCGCTAACGTCTCTTGAAAAGCCTTGTATTCGTTGATGTGTTTCTCTAGTTTAGCTTCAAGATCTTCTTTTTCTTTCTGCATTCCATTCACTACGCCATCCAGATCTTCTTTTTCTTTTGTCACATGTTTTAAGTTATTCTCCATTTCGGCAAGCTCATACGATTTTCCCTGAAGCTGTTCTTCCAGTGATTCCATTTGCTCTAAGAGCCGTGCGACTTCAATGGTTCGTGTTTCACTTTCCCATGCAGTCCTTTCTTTTTCTTCAGCCATTTCAATATACTTCTTCTCAAGATTATTTTTTTCCTCAGCAAGTTGTTCCCCCTGTTTGGAAGTTTCTTCAATGCGAAGCTTTAGTCTCGCCTCTTCCTCCTTGGCTTTTTCCAGTTCTGTAAGCATTTCTTTATTTTCCTTGATCATCAACTCTTGTTGTTTCTCTAAGTTTTCCTTCTCGGATGAAATGGAGTCAAACCGGCCCTTTAGCTGTTCAATCTCTTCGACACTTTGCTTCAGGTCCTCTTCAAGTAGCTTCTTTTCTGCACACACTTTATTGTAACGTACATCAAGCGATTCCAGTTGATCGCTGGGAGGCGGGTTTTCAAGGGTTGAACTTGCCTCACTTGGAGCTATCAAATCGTTTTCGTTACTTGGAGGCTGCTCGAACTCTCTGTTGTCAAACGATGTAACCATTTCGTAAACAGGAGGGCTGCTTTCGCATTGCAGTGCTGTGCTAGGTTGTATGCCATTTTCACCCTGCGAATGATTCTCGCTAAGATCGGTTTCAGGGCTGCTGCTTGACTGAACTGGAGCTTCCTTCTCTGTAGCAGTTTCACCTATTGTGGAGTGCTTAGTTGACATTAGCTCTTCTAGTTGTTTCTTGAGTCCATCATTCTCCAAGTGTAGGCGAGTAATAACATCTTTTTCCTCTTCTGTGTTCGCGTCTTTTGTGTCTTCAACACTTTGGTCTGCCTCGACTTGAGCTCCAGTAACTTTTTCTTTCCACTTAGTTTCGGATTCCTTAAGTGTGTGGAGCTCGGTCGTGGTCTCCAGCAGCGCTTCCTTTAAAGCGTCACGCTCTTCTACCATCCTAGAAAGTGATTTCTTTAAGCTTTGAACCTCCGCTGACACCTCCGTTAGTGACATGGTACTTTCGTGCTGCTTACATAGAGCATCTTCCAATTGATACTGCAGGCCCTCTTTGCTTTGATAAACGTTTTCCAAAGCGTCAGCTAAATTGTTCTTCTGTTGTTTGATCTCGTCTATTTGCTCTGACATTGCCTCTTTCTCCTCGGTGAGCTTGGTGATGAAGCTCTTTACTTGTCTTCGCTTCTCATCAAGTTCTCGAACGTATTTCTGCAGCGATAACTTTTCCGTTTGAGACGATTCCAATTTGACCTTTAGGTTTTCCTGGTCAGTCTTCACTCTCCTAAGTTCCTTCTTAAGGAGGGTAACTTCCTGTTGAACTTTTTCAACCAGTGAAAGAATGTTGTTCCCTTGTTCCTCCAGCGACATTTCTTTTATGTCGGTGGCGGTTTCCTCAGAGCTACTGTCTTTATCTTTATCTGTCAAGGATTCGTAAAGTTCCCATAGTTTGGCATAAATAGATCTCATTTGCTGTTTAGCTTTCTCAGCACTCTCCATTCCAGCTGTAGTTGGCTCTAATTCGCCATTCACTCGTTGATAATTTTCTTTAAGTGATGTCAGTTCTTTATCCATCGTTTCAACTTTTTTCTCCAAAGCAGCCTTTTCTTCCGTGACCTCATCAAGGGATTCGACTAGCTCCTGTTTCTCTTCGTGTGCTTCACGTAGACATTCTTGGAGTGTGTTAGTTACCTCTTGATTCTTTTGGAACTGATGCTTACTCACTGTGGCTTCTTTCTTCATCGTTGACACCATTTCTCGGAGTTCCGTTTCGTTTCTCCTACTCTCCTGTAGCTCCTGATTGATTCTCTCATTCTCCTTTTCAATCTCAAGCAAGCGCTCTTTTACACCTTTTAGATCGTCGCTTAGCTGATCTGACTTCATTCGTAAACTTTCGTCGGTAGAAGAACTGTGTTCGTCTCTCTCCGGAGAAACTTGAGTGATATTTTCAGTAGCCACAACATTTCCATTGAAGTCTGTCTCTTCATCGCTTGATGCATCACTTTGCTGTTTGCTGTTAGGTAGGTGGTTTGTTGTTACTGGATCTAATCCTATAGTGATATCGTTCTCGCTAATTATACTCTTCAGTTTGTTGATTTGTACTTCAAGTTTCTCATTCTTCTCCAGTTGATGGTAAAGCGAATCCAGCAAACACACTTTTTCTTCCTCCAAATTCGAGTTGTCTGACTTGAGAGCTTTTATAACATTCTCAAGTTCGGTTCCGCGTTTGGTGAGACGAAGGATGTCTTGTTTAAGAAACTCGCAACGCTCCACTGAACTCTTCCGAGCGGGTTGCATGCTACCATCACTTTCTTTATCGACACTTTCAAAGTCCAATTGTCGCCTATCGCCACGCTTGGTTTTAAGAACAACAATCTCTCTCTTTAGGTTAATAAAACTGTCCTCGATATCTCTTTTGTCCACTTGAAGTTGCCGTATTTGAGCTGTTTGTGAATCGATCAACTCTTTGCATGTCTTTATTTCACTTAAGAGACCCGAGTTATGAATTTTTTCACCCGTTTCCCGTGGGACGCTTGTCTCACTTTCTGTACAATACACCATGCTGCTATTGATTTCATTGAACTTTTGAATCTCGGTACCTAAGTAATCGACTGCGTCCTCTAGGGAATCCTTTCGTTCAATTTCGTCAAGCAGAGCTTTCAAGTGTGTTGCATTTTTTGTCGACAACTCAACGACATTCTCTCGTAAATTTTTGTTTTCTGCTTCCAAGAGTTGAATTTTGCCGTTAAGCTCTTCTTTTTGGTGATGTAATTGTTCCATTTCTTCTAGGCTGGAATCCAAGGCATCGGTTATTTGGCTCCTTAACTTGTTCACGCTGTCTTCGAGCGCTCTTTTTTCCTCTGTCAGCTTGCCACTTTCTTCCTCCATTGACTTATACTTTTCTTCCAGCTTCTCATGTTCCAGTTGCAGGGTCAGTAAACTAGTCTTGAGTTCTTCCACCTCCACGCTGGAAAGAGAAACACCATGGTTCCCTAACTGTCCTAGGACGTTCATTTTACACTGAACTGCAGCGTCGGCGGTATCTTTGTGCATTTTGTATCCATTCGTCGTTTTCTTTTGTAATTTATGGACTGTCGCTAGCAGAACTTTCCTTTCTTTTCTTAAAGTGACAAGTTCTGACAAAGCAAATCCATCTTCGTTTTCCTCATCGGGTTTGCATTCCACTTTGGTCAGTAAATCCAGTTCTTCATCCAGCTGCCCACGCTCGTTTAGTTTGTCCTTTATAAGCTTTAATTTTTGCTTGTAATTGTAACTTTCTACTTCCAGTTTTGAGCGATCGCTTTCCAGCCGTCGAACCAACCCCTCGTGATCAAGTATCCCTCCGTTAATTTGAAGATGCCCCCTCATCAATTCTACTTCTTTGGCACGCTTCTTCTTGTTCTCGTCTGTTTCATTGTTGTTCTCCTCGTAGAACACTCCTTTGAAGGTGTGAAGTCCATTGTTATTTTTCCCACCGATTGTTATCAATTCCCGCACTTGGTCTAGATACCTCTCCAGGACTTGCACTTCGCAGTTAACGTCAGTTGTACTGTGATGAAGTCTGGCAATCAGTTCTGGGGGAAACGGATCCCACTTTTTGCTGTTCTCTTTGGACATCTCTGTTTCTTTGAAGACTGTTTCGTGTAGAGAGGTTAGCTGAGACTGCACTCTCTGGCCTATGTTTGCCATTTCAGATGCTAGTCCATTGAGTTTTATGGTTTTTTCAGAAAGAGAGTTTTCTGATCCATAGTCTACTTCTGGTAGCTCGAGGGCTTTTCGTTCCTGTTCTTTGACAATTTGATCGGGGTCTCTGTAAGATAAAGTCAAAGAAAACGGAATATTACTTATTTTAGGAGACACTTTGGCTTAACAGTAAAGTTTGCTTTTATTTCAAACAAAATTTGCAACCAAATCGTTTTGTACTTCGTATAAGGTGTCATCTGCCCTCTTTGGGTTGGTTACTCAAAACGAAGTCTAACTTAGACCGGCCGCGGGTCACGGTGGATCTCCAAAACGTCCAAGCCCGAATGGGTTATTTTTATAAGCAGATAGTAAATGCTTTTCGGGTCTGCTCTACATACTTTCTCGACGCTGTTCCCACTAAAAATTCAAAATTCAAAATGGTCTAGAAAGCGGTTCTTAACACTATTGTAACAACCCTCCAGCTGTATTTGGGTGTAGTTTCTTCCTAGTTAGTTACAGACTTAAGTAATGACAGCTCTACGTTAAATTCCGTTCACTATGGAAGCACCCTTTGTGCAGTCACAGACGCAGTTGGTTTACTTTTAAGGTCAGCACTGCTCGTGGCGATCTGGCAGTCATTCGCGATCATGTTGATGTTATGTACGAAGTGTTACTGAAATCTCAATTACTTCACTTACTCCTTCAACGACAAGCACTGTTCACGCTTCAAGTAAATTGTAAACATGCTCTCGTTTTGCATAAAGGCTTTTGCTTTTTATGTTAAAAAAGTTTATATCAGTTATTTGCTTACAAAAAAATACTTAAAACCTCAAGCAAATTTGCAAATCTACCCATGTCCACTTAAGTATAAGAAAACACATTAGAACATTTACCCTGACAATGTTGTATTAACTTATTAATTGCCATTTAATTCGTTCAGCACAGCCACAGAAGTGTTCAACTTTGCTGAGAATTATGATTGCAGTAATATCTTACTAACAGTGCAATATAGTTACCGGTACGCTTGCATTTACTAATAGCGGCACTTAAGTTTACCATTCTAAATTCATTCATCCATTCAACATCGAACCTAGCTGACCAGTATGTTTCATAAGCTGGGTGATATAACACTTTAATTTGTATGAGAGCTACGATATAAATGTTTTTCCCGTAATACCGCTGGCAGGATCGTAGGTTTTAGGCAATCAATAGGTCGCCGTATATTGAAGTTCATTAAGTCACCGATTTGTCAGAACAGATTATCCTAAACCTCTTTGTACAGCTTATAAGTTGATCGAAGTTTGAGGTACATAACAAACGGATTATCTCTTAACTAACCTCTTGAGCTGTTTCTTAGTGTACTTTGTTCCGAAATTGTCGTAAAAAGCATCAAGGGTATCATTGCGTCAGTCTACTTGGAAGTGTCTGTTGTAAGACGAAATGTACAAGACCAGCGCTGTATATGTATGTCGTAGCTTACATAATATGTTGACAATGGCATATTATCATAAACTAATTGGGCCGTGAATGCCGTCTTCTTGAATTAAAAACAAAGAGCACTTGACCGAACAACTGCTTCGATACCACCTCCGTATCCCAAGGGAGGTATTGCACGCTTGAAGGGGAGAGAAATATCCCATGCATTTACTTTGGCAAAGCAATAGCAATGAAAGAATTTACGCTTTTCAGAGTTCGCAATATTTCACGGCGATTGAAGGTATAGTTGCTCTCTTATGTGCTTACTAAATCAAACACTGCATTCTAATTGGATAGCTGCGTAATGCTACGATTATAGCGGGGCTTCCACGCGCACCTTAGGTGCGCGTGCAGCCCCAAGCCTGAAAGATGTTGGGTGGCACAGGGCAACCAGGCCATAGACGCACCTACGTGTAGGAGGAGCGTTCGCCTCCCAGCAATGACGCTTGGGTTCGAAACTGTACTTCGAGAGGTTTTTGTCCTCTCCTAGAAAGAGAAAGAAAAAATTCCTCTTCGATCTGGAACGCACGCACACTCGCAATAAATTCTATCGCGAAAGCTCATAGGGTCTTAATTTAGCTTAAAAACAAACTTGCCTTTGAACAAAGGCTAATACCGGTATGTCTTCCGAAATGGGAGCTCCTCAAAATAATTGTATTGTAAAAATTCAAGTGGCGCCCCTGTAAAATTGTTTTGAAAATGAAATAGCATGTTTTCAAGAAGTTGTACTTGGCATACAGATTAAAGAAGTTTGTATTCTCTTGTACAGATTAACAACCAAGATCGAAGTCTGATCATGAAGTCATCTTTGTTTTTGTTTTTTCACTCATTTTATCTTTGCACAGTTGTCCTCTAACAAGTTAAAGCATCAACCACAGCTGCTTTTGGAGGATGGCCTTACAACAAAACAACGGTAACAAGGTTCGTCATATAAATACATTTAAAATTTCAGGGCTGTGCTTATTTTAAGAATTAAATAAGAGAGAGAGAGAGAGAGAGAGAAAAAAAATCGGCATTGTATTCTGTGACTGGTCAGAAAAGGGCATCATCTAGTCAGTAACGCGCTCTACGTCACGCGAGTAATTAATATCTTGATAGAAGACAAGTCCTACGTGACAGGCGCTTAGAAAATGTTATGTAAAAGGTGTAGGGGAGAGTGATGTTCCTGGGAGGATCGATGATACTCATGTTCCCTTCCCTTAAGAATAAAATTGGAACCGTTATACTTAACATATCCAATTCATCTCACTTCACACATCGCGTTGTACGCGCCTACAAACTTTTTTCAGAAAACTAAAACTATGAAACTCAAATGAACATAGTCAAATATTATTGTATCAAAAATATTATATTTTATAAACGTGTAGAGTAACTTATGATATTGTAGTATTGATAGTTGTCTAAAATCAACTGAGAGATATTCGATCGTGTGAAAGTCAGTTACGTCTAAGTAAAACTTTCAAGAAACTCAGTTTCCTCCCACTGATTTGTTTCGGAATTAGAATACGCCAGTTAGAAAGTAACCTGTGAACTACGGATACCATTTTCATTTTCAGCAAGAACACGAGATCTAGATTCAGTTAAGGTTGATGTTTCAGAGGATGTCAGATATTAAGGTGAAATGTTCAGGATGTACTTAACCAATCTAAGGCTTAAGTGGAGCATTAAGTCGATACATGCATTGTACCAACGCATATTTAATGTTTTCAAGCTGCATTTTCTTCCTTGAACCTACCGGAACGCTGAAGAATTAGATGAATATAAGACAGCAGCGACTATTAAATCTCCCACGGCAACTGTCTTCGAAAAACAGAAACTTAAGAAACATTCTTGAGTTGTTTCATTCTGGAATGGCTATGATTGAAAATACATTTCGAAGTGTTATTTCTCTTATTTAAAGCAATACACGGCCTAACGGCAGTTCCTACATTAAGAACCAAACTGATATCAAGTCTCAAATAGATACTTTTTGAAAACGTTTTGACGATACTTTTTAAACTTTGACTCTAGTATCTTAGATAAAAATTTTCCTGATTGGCTCACTTGATTCAGTAATTTTATCTATGGTGATCTTGAATCAATTTGTTTAATTAGAAATGCGTTCACATACAATTTTAGCGTAAGATGTAAAGAGAAAATCCTCGTTGTTCTATAGACTTAAATTCGCCTATCTATTTGTATATTCCATCTACATTTTTAAAAAACGTGGACAGTACTACATCACAGTAAATCTAGTCTAAGAATTCAAACTATTAAACATTTATAACAGCATTAATAGCTACAAGTACCTTTGTTTGCATTCTAGTCTCAAAAGTATTGTTTGCACAGGTTTAAACTCGGCTGAAATATATTAATACAATAGGCAAGAACAGAGCAGATTAGCACAACTCATTTCATTGATGAGTAAAAATGTAAACCAAGTAAAACCTGAACACATCGACGCTGAGACACAGACGCTCTCGAGCGTACACGAGTTAATTGCATTATTGTGAACGTGTGTCTAGTAATAAATATCTTAGTGGCGTGCGACTTGGCATAATTCTTTGAGGACTTACCTGGTGTAGAAGTTTGATGAATATTTTTAAAGATAACAAAAAAGACTTAGTCTTGTTCTCGTGATTCTTACTTACGTTGTTTGCCCTACAAAAAACAATTCCGCACAATTAGGAACGATGCCGGCCAATCAAATATCATCCCTAATAGAAATTTTCAATCAAAACAAACCGGTAGGAAAGATAACACACTCAGAATTTTAGGCGACCTCACTCTACAAGCCAGGATTTTAGTGAAGAAAGAGTCGATAATTCAGAATGAATTGTTAAGAACAGTCTTGAGAGTCATGAGTTTTACGATTTAACCACGCGCCTTAGGCGCCTATTTTTAGTGTAGTGGGCTTGTAACAATTGTTAATTAATACTTTAATAATAAGCCGTGGTTGGTCTAAGAATTGGAAATGTTTGTAGACTGTGTTTGTGGGCAAAATAAATCGAGCATGATCAGGTAATGCCTCTTCTGTGTTTTGGTGAACACTCTCTGTATCGGCGTGAAAAGCCCCCACAGCGCACCCAGCAATACGACAGTGCTCAATATTCTTAGCTTCTTTATAGTCAAAATTGCCGGTCGATTCAACCTACTGATCACGCAGATAAAATGCTGAGACCATACAAATAACCAATTGTTTGCCACCACTTTCCCATAGTACAGCTCGAATTTTACAAAATTTTCAAAACAACCTAGATTTCTTAGCGTAAAATTTGCTTGCCAGTGTGAGCGAACGATCATTTTCTTGTCTTTTAAGTATCCGCAAGGCAACAACTAAGCTTCATTACCACCGTCAAGCTGCAGAATCGCCTAGTATCCTTATCTCCTCCTGTTAGTTGCTCACACAAGGAGCTTTAAAACGTCCTTCTTGCATTCCACCAACTCGTTTTGGGGGAAGTGTTTCAGTTATTTAAATTTCTAAATCAGAAAGCTAAAATTTGATTGTGTAAATTTAAAACACAACTTGCATACCAACCTTTGGCAAAGAC